TTCAGGGAGTTGCAGAGAGTTGTAAGACCTCCCCTGAGCCTCCTCTTCTCCAGACTGCACAATCCCAGTTCCCTCAGCAGCACCCTGTAAGACCTGTGCTCCAGATCACTCACAGTTTCACTGCCCTTCTCTGGACGCACTCCAGGACCTACATGTCTTTCCCTTAGTTCATAAACACCCCAGGAAGCACTGACTGAAGGCATAGTGACACCGTGCAACACAAGTTGTGGTGAGCAATGACAGCAGCCGTTTCTCCAATACCTTTAGGTGGCTCAGTATGGAGCCAAGAGTTAGACTCGATGATCCTTACATTGCTCTTCCAACTCATTCATTCAATGATTGTTTTTGTGCCCAGTGACTTAGCAGAACTCAAAGCACAACGCTAATATGGTAACAAACAGATACCCCCTATCTATCCACAAAACAACAAAAAGCTCCAACAGCTCAACACAAGCTATCAAGCAGAACCATCCCAGGGTCGTACCGGCAGATCCACGCTGACGTCGGTGCCATCCAGCAGAGCCACACGGCAGGTGATGACCGACCTGGCATCTCCAGCTGCCGGGATGTGGGTCGCAGCCCTCTGGGCTTCACGCAGCCGCTCCCGCTCCGCATGCCTGCGCATGGAGCGGCGCCCCAGCGTCCGGCGGAAGAAGCTCAGCATCTTGGCTGGGAAATGCGAGAAAAGGCTTGGGTTAGGTTGTTGTGGGAATGAGAGACGTAATAATCATGATTATTATTATTATTATTAACTGCTAAGAAAGGATCAGGAATAAAAAGACGTCGGGGACTGAAATTTCCTTGTTGGCTGCAGGAAGCTGGGCTAGGTGACTGTAAGGGTCCCTTCCAACTCAAGCGCTTCTAACGAAGCACCAACGGGACGCCCGTAGAGCTGCGCACACCCGCTGTTCGGGGAGCTCCGGCTTCCAGTGACTGCCGCTGACCCCGGAGGACGTGCAGCCGTGCAGGGCGCAGCCCGGCGCCGCGCAGCCCTCGTACAGCCCGCGGCTGACACCAAACGCCTTCTTAACGAGACGCAGCGCTGCCCTCCGAGCCAGAAGACAAACCTCGGAGCTCGCGGCGGCGTCGTGCTCGCGGACCAAAGGGTTTTACACAGATTTTATCGCAGAAACCTCCCCCCGGCCGGGCGGCGGGACGCAGAGCTCCCACCCGCAGCCATGGCGCCCGCCTCCGTACGAGGCCGCTCCCGGCGCTCGCCCCGCGGCCCGACCCCGACCCCCGCCTCCCCTCAGGGCCGGACCCCTCACCTGGCGGCGGCGTCGCGCCGGGGCCGTGCGGCGCGGCGGCTGCACGGGGCGGGCCGGGAGCGGGGGGGCGGGCCCGGCAACATGGCGGAGCGATGCGGGAGGACCTCGGGCGGGAAAGAGCCCGCCGCGCCCGGCCGCGTTACTCACTCACCTGCGGGCTGCCGGCGGCGGTTCCGGGCCGAGGAAGGGACGACACGACGACCGCGGCGGGAAGCGACGCGCGGAGGGGACGGACGAGGCCACCGCCCCTTTGCGGGGTGGAGCCGGGGCCGCCCCCGCCCCGAGCCGCCAGGTGGTAGCGGCCGGCGGGGCGCGGCGCTGCGGGGCGGCCCTTGAGGCGCCCGGGGATGGCGAGAAAAGGGCCGGAGAGTGGAATTACTAAAGCACATCTTTATTTTGCAATTAAACAATTAAGATCCACAAGTAAACTATATATATTTTTTCAAGTCTGTACCCAGACAACTATTTGTCAACTGAAATTAAATATATCCACAAAATATGCATAACAGCTTTTTTTTTTTTTTTTCTTCACATAATAAAATGAGATTTTACCTAAGACTGAAACAAGACCTGTTAATGTTAACTCGCATATCGGTGCTGGGAACTGCTGGTTTTTCGGTAGGACGTCACTGTGTCACTTAATGGCAAGGAATTTCATTTTATCCAACTAAGGACAAATGCCTAAGGCCCTTAACGCATACAGCAGCTGCAGTGACCAAAGCTGAATCCTTATTACTTCGTCCAGTGTTGACCCATTTCAAGTCTCCATCGTTTCCAATCTGTCGAAGCCAACAAGTGGGTGTTTTAGTGTCCCCCAGCCCACTGCAGACCTTCATGTCTATAGGCAGAAATCTGCTCAGGGGAACAGACCCTTCTGCCGTGCTAATGGGGCAGCAGGCAGCCTTACAGCTGAAGCTGTCCAGCTCCGAGGTCTCCTTTTCACAGCCACCCCTCCTTGGGATGATGACACGGAGATGCTGAGAGCCACAGCTGAAGTGGAAGCTAATTAGTAGAAGGAACTAGCAAAAGATATTGCCACCATCTGATTGTTAATAGTGATCTAGGTAATATTCTTCCCTTTGGATTTACACAAGAGAATATAGCACCTGTTACAGAAACAAAACAAAACAAAAAACCCCAAACCTTACACAAAGAGCTCTGCCAAACTGACTGGTGAAAATGGGATCACTGGCAGACAAACCAAACCAAACAGACCAACTTCTGAATGCATCGGATGCAAGAACAAACTTTGTTTTCTTACCTTACTTTTCCTGTGATGGATACCTTACTTTTCCTTGTTATGTGGTGCCCCAGCGTACTGTGATCGCTGCACTGGACAGTTTATAGTCTACTCTTTGTGGATATACTCTCCTTAGAGAAAACAGCTTAATGTAAACAGTTGAAAGCCTTTCGCTTTTGTCTCAGCCCCCCGGCCCAGGCAGAAGAGGAAAGAAGAGACATCTTTAAACTTTGTTGTGCATTACTTTTGGTTATCAAAATCCAAAGTAAAACAAATAAACAGATTTCCAGGCAATTGATCTGATGTTAAAAACAAGGCTTAGCAGAAACATCTACAGCAAACACAGCTAATCTGCAGCTGAGAGAGACCACGGATCAGTGTACCAGTACTCTGTATTTCTATTTGCACTTTTTGGAAATGCAAGCTTTTACGTTCTTACAACAGGACAATCGAAACCATCAGTTGTTAATAATCCACTTTCTGAAAAGCCCTCAAATACACCAACAGTAACGCAGATGTGGTTGGAGCAGCTGAAAGCATTCGTACCGCAGCGTAACCCAAATCATCTCCGCACAGAAACCCATTGCGCATCTCTCTCCAAACCCAATTTATTTTTTCCGATAGTTCAGTCAGTAGTAAGCATGAGATAAAGTGCTACTATTCAAACATCAAAACACTTTGAGAAAAATCATCCTTTAAAACACAAGCTTGCTAAATATGAAATACCACCAGCAGCAAACTGTCAGCCAGCCCGTGAAACCAAACTTCATCTTACAGAATACAGGAATGATGGATATTTTATTACATTTATTAGGCTACATGGCTCAGAGAAAACAAAGAGGACGTACTTTTTATTGAAAAGGTGCGTGTTTTCCTCCTGAAACTCTTACCAACTGAGCTCTCAATGAGCAAGTGATGCTTCAGAGAGCAGCTGGAGCTTGCAGGTTATGCACTGCTGCAGTTTGTAGCTGGAGAAGCCCAACAAACTGAAGATGCACAGTGGTAGCAGCTAGCACAGAGCTGAAGTGCAGTGGTGATAGAGATAAATGAGATTGGACAAAACACTGCATTAAAACAGACTCTTTTCTCCTTTAACAGCTTCCCCAATCACCACTAATTACAATCTGTGCAATTTCATGCAAGATCTACATTTAATCAATGAACATCTTCTTATCAGATTTTGATATTTGACCCCAGCATTGAAGGTAGCAATAGAAAACAGCTTTCCAAGTCTCAAGATAAAAGGTGGGTTCTAAAATTAGCAAACACACCCAGCCTGCTGGGGACCTGCACAGTACAAAAACACTGCAAATGCCCTAAGAAGGCACCATTCCTTTTCTGTGTGGAAATCCTAATAAACAGATCTTGAATTTGGACAATATTCAATTCCTCCCTTTATGCTCAGGGCTGATGGTCCTTCAGATGGCCTGCAGTAACAGCTCTACAGTCACAACTACACCGTAAGTATGGGACAACCTGCTTTTGCATGGAGATCTGTGGATGGTGCATCTGTAGAGTATTTTTCACGCTCGCACCAATTCCCTGAGCCACCAACTATTGCCCACACACCTACACAAACAAAAATATCACATAGTTCAGCTCCACAGCATGCCTGGAGGTCTGGCATCACTATGCAGGACCTTCTCTACTTCCCATCTCCCTGGGCAGTACTGCTGGGCCTTGGCCTCCATAGGTACCACACAGCTTTTCAGAAGCTCTCCAAGGAAAGCTGCCTGTTTCCACAAGAAACACCTCACATACCTTCATCTCCCTACTGCTTTCTCACCCCTTCTCTCTCAGGTGGTGCACCAGGACATAATCAGTTATTCTAGATATATTTTAGCCTATATGAGATGTAAGCTTCTAAGATTTAACAGAGAAACGCAGAAGAACCTTCAGTTAGCATTAAATGTGGTGTAATAAAACTGTTAGTCAGAAGTAGGAGAAAATAGCTAAAAACAGAACTTGCTAAAGCAGTGGCTTACTGCTTCAGACACACACACACTGTTTAAACCACCAAATGCTTAGCGGATAAATTAAGTTTTCAGCTCTGTGGTGTATCTAACGCAGCATTTCTCAGAAGGAATTGGCTGACAGTCCGTCGGTGATTTACCTGCATCTTATTTCATATTTAGCAATAGTAAAAACGCTCCCCAAAACACGCAAAGCCTTCTCAAGAACCTCATTTTTCTGCTAACAGAAGAACCTTCACATCCACTTTAAACAAGAGATGGTTGTGGTAGTTTTGAAATTGAACTGAAAAGGAAAAAGTCTTGATGTTACACATTGGCAAAAGCTCTCATAATATTGCTCTGATTTACAACGGAAACTTATTTCTTGTTTTAAGCTGGATCTGTGTATCATGGAAGCATTACAAACATACTCTTTCTCCCCCCACCCAGCATTTTTCCTCATCAATTGGTATGAAAATAATTGTTCGTCAAGTCCAACAGTCGTAACACCAATCACAAACACCAATCACATCCAGTTCATTTTGTCTGAAAGATACATTCATGTTTTGTACAGCATGAAACATACAAAAACTTCTTCAGAAAGTCTGAACGATGATACAGATCGTCATAACCCAAAGTTAAATATTTAGCATTTTGATTTTATTTTCTTTTGGCCGTATAAAAATATCGTGAAGGCCATTTATACCACAACAAATACAAACATCTGAGTGAATGATTTATGGTGCAGGAAGCCTTCAGCCTTCTCTTTCCCAAGCAGCTTTTGGTTCCCATTCTGCTGGCTTTCCAGAAGCCAAAAAGCCATTGATTAACTGACGATCAATTAGCTGAGTTTGCCTTTTTTTTCCCCCCCAGTGCAGCTAGTTAATACATAACAGCAGATCAGCTTAAATCAATGCAGAGGAAGATTCTAAGTTTGTATTCTCGCCTCTATTTGTCATCAGAACAGTAATGACAGATGACCAGTAAATATCCCACGTGTAATTGTGGTATAAACGGGTATTTTGAACTCAAACTGCTTTGGCAGCTTCACATAACAATAGTTAAATATATGACAAACCAACGCTATTCACGTTGCTATAAACTTAGTTTCTCATTCCTCTCAGGAAAAAAATGGGGCAAATGATATTTTTCTTTACAATTTGACTGTGAAAAAAGTGTACTTCAATATAATGGATGAATTATTTTACGTTTTAGATATTAAGTGCTGACTTTAAAATAAGCTTCCAGTTAGCTGGCATCTCAGCTAATAATCTCATCATATGAAAGTTAAAGCTTTAAATTTAATACAGATTTTGTTGTTGTTGTTGCAAATGGCTTAAAATGAAACTGAGATTAAAGCTACTTTATCACTCTTTTTCCATTTATCAGATCCAAAGATACTTGTAAGATTCATTTTTCACTGAGGAAAAACATTGATTTAGGCATCAAATCTAGAAATATAAGTAACAGGGCCACAGGCCACCTAGTATTATTTTGTATTCTAAAAATAATTAATACTATATTTTCCATTTGGCATTGTGGTTCATGTGTATTACTAAGTCTTAAGCCAGGATTTCACTTTGCCTGAATTCCTTTTCACTTAATATTTCATAGCTGATCTCTTTCAGATGTCCACAGAACACCGTATATTATATAATTATTCAATAGTTAAAAACTTTAGTGTAGAAATTTCCATTCCAGCTCTATGCTTTATATAGCTTATAACAAAAATTACTGGATAGACATTTTCAGGAAACCAATAAATTAAGGTTTTTAAATAGAGGACACAGAGTTAAGTTGTTGCAGGGCAGTCAAAGAAGCGACTGATTTTGTTTTCTTACAGTATATTACACCGGACACTTTGCTTCTGACTTGGGTTTCTCCCTATACTGGAAAAAACATGAAAAACCGGGACCTATCTATGTCTTTAGAGTGAGCTCAGATACTGTATCAGACATCTGTTACAAATCTTACACCTACTTAAATAAGAGGCAACCCATACCAACTGGAACAACTTTGCACAAGCATGACAGAGGGTGACTGAGACCATCACGGAATTAAAGGAGTTGTGGGAAAGCATCATCGTGTTTGCCTCCCTTCCCACCCTCCCCAAACAATTAGAAAAATAAAAGGCAGACCTGTACGAAAATGGCTTGAAATCAACTATGAGGATTTAAAAAAATACTCGGTTAGCAAATAATGGAATTAAATCACATCTGACCGTAAGTTCGACTTAATTATCAGTGCTATTAAAGAGTTATGTTCTAATTGAGTAAGACAGCTATTCTCAATAAAAGGATAAAACAAAGTGTCAGCTTCTAATGACCTACTAGCATTTCATAGTAGGCTGCTAGTAAGTTACTAGTCGTAAGGAATAAAGGAATGTGTCAGACTTTTCACGTAACTACAACACAGCAGCAAACAATGCTCATTTGTTAAGTTGGCAGAGGTGCTTTTGCTACTGAGCGTAGCACGCAGGTAATCGTATGAGGAAAGAGGGAATGGTATTTCCATGACCCCTTGCAGTAACATACTCCAAGCACCAAGGGCCGTTTTTAAAATCTGAACCCATTAAGATAAACACAACAGGACAAGACCACCCCCACAGAATCATGAGTGCCTTTCACTGGATGTACGCTGTAAGTCTCAAGGCACTTAAGGGGTTAAGACAATGCATGCACTAGCTCCCATCACATAATCTTAAGTCACATGAATCAGAATACACCAGTGTATGACACACAAGCTGTGTCAAAGAAATGCTGTTTATTTATTTTTTTAAAGTTTTTATTATTACTGTTTTCTTTTTTTTTTTTCTTTCTCCTTTTTCCTTTTTTTTTTTCTTCTTTTTTCCTTTTTTTTTTTTTAAACAAGATGCTGGTAAGTGGGCATTATGCAGCTACTGCTGGGTTAACACAGATGCCAGCTCTCCTCTAACAACCAGCTGGTCTCTAAGAAGGGTGTAGGACAAAGTGTGCTGCATCAGTAGGCAGTGTGTATCTATCTAGTATCAGCAATATTGCTAATGTTGTAAAAAACAAAACAGTGAGAGTCTGTACATAGTAAATAAACCTAGCACTGGAGAAAGACCATGGCTTAGTGTATTTTTTCATTTGTTTTTCCATTTTTAAGAGACATGGGTGTAAAACAGAGTGAAATAATTCCAAGCCTTGTTTGTAGCAATTCAACCAGAAGCGCAGTATATGGCACTACAATGAAATCTCGTAGATTACCCTGAACACAATTAGTTCTTTCAGTTTATGGTTTGTTCGGAGCAAAGCACGAAAATAAAGTCTTCAAACAGATGAAGATTAGAAGAGTTTCAGAGACTGATTTTGTTTCAATGTAAAGTGCAACAGTGCTGAAGTTTTCAAAGTCCTTTGTCAATTCTTTGCTGTACTTCACTATCATTTCCTGCAAGCAGTATTATGGCACAACGAATGCTGCCAGTTCATTATTTAGAGGACAGGGTTCCTCAATTTATATCCTAGGTTTTTTGCTCTTTATTTATGTGGTGATGCTTGTAAAGGTTTAATAAATCCTTCTTCATACACCTTCAGAATAGCTTCACATACAAATCTGTATTGACTCTGAAAAGAAAAGTAGATTCAGTTAATTGAAAAGAAACAAATTTAAACCATAGGTCATTTGAAAGTAGGAGAAGCTTCCAGTGTCTCCTGTCCTATTTTCTTAACAGGCCAAGAACTGTGCTTCAAGTTTAGCTTAGGAAATATAGAACATGTGTATAAGAATATCTTGTTTCTCAGCAGAACAGTGGAATGAACAGCACTTAGAAATATATACCAGAAGTCATACCCACCTATCCCGTACTTACAGCATTCTTTTATTTAGTTATTTCTTGCCCTTCATTTCACTGCTGAAGTTTCACTAACACAAAGTTTCCATACACTTGAATTTACAAACTACAGCAAAGCACTTTTTCATGCTTGCACGGATTTTGGCATGTTAATGGCACCTCTCTCTCACAATGAGGAAATACACTGCTTCATGTTTTAGAAAGCCCATACCCAATTTCTGAACATTATATGATGTCTAACTGCAATATATTCAAGTCTAGCACTGGCTTGCATAGAAGACACCTTGTTTTAAACAAATAGTAGTTCCAAAAAACAAACAAACAAAACAATCCCAGTCATTAAGCACAGCAAAAAGCATTCCTGCCTTTTCATTTTCAATGCAGTAATTGTTGATTTCAGATCTTAAATGGGCACAGCAACAGATCTAACAATGCAATCACTATATGCTGCATTGTTACATCTAAATTAAAATACTTAGACATATTCATGTAGAATACACATTTTGCCTCCAGTGCTCACTAAATGAACCTTTCTGAACTCTCTTCATAGAGCACAGAGGAGAACCACGCATAGAGCCATCTCATGGACACTGAGGAATATTTCAGAAAATGCAAAAATCAGGAAAAGGCAGCAGCAGAAGTTGTCTTGGATAACTCTTACTCCTGCACCTCCCCTTCCTTACTAACAAAGGTCTCCTCCTCTCAAAGTATGCCGTAGAGATGTACAAATTCATAATACAGCCATCACAAAAAGCCAAAGCCATCTTCTATTGTTCTCCATGTTTCCTCACTTTCCTGAATAATTGTTTTTTTTTTAGTGGAATATGAATACTAGACAGTGCCATACTACAGATGACTGAGAAATGGAGGTTTACATATTTTCCTCTCAACCTGAATACACTCTGAGGAACACTGAAGGTTTCTTCAAATTTAGTTAGAGGAACAGCAACAGGCTGTTGAAATTACTGCAGTGACTAACTAGCTTCTGGTAACTGTGGAAGAGGTTTGACACTGAACCTAGTGCGTTTTTTCCTTCAGAATATTTTCCCTTTAAATAGTAAATACATTGAGTAAAACTATACAACCAATGATTGCATTAAAAAAACCTAATTGGTCAAAAAAATGGAATAACTAGAACCCTAAGACTTCTTACGAAAGACAGCACAGCTGAGCATTTTGACTCTTTTAATGCACTTTTTAAAAATGTAAAGCAAACAGCTTTCTGAAATAAGCATCATCTGACTGATACAGGTTAAAAAAAAAAATCTAAGTCTGTTCTAACTCCATTCTTAACCTGTTAGAATTCAGAAACAGAATGTTAAGGAAGCAGAGCAGTTATCTCAAAAAACAAACAAACATGATCAATGCAGGGGAAATTCTAGCATTTTCAAATGCATGAAGACTCTCCCTCAACACAGAATTGCAAGTATGGTACTCACAGGTGTTTGGATCATCATGGCTCTTTGATCTCTCATGGTTCGTACAATGTCTAATGGATAAACAGGCTGATTGCACTCAATGAGACACATTGCTGTCTCCATGGTGATAAGAACTCCTGTCCGTCCAATCCCAGCACTGTCAAAACAAGAAAAAACCCTAATAAAAAGAAGTGTCTGGAATGTAGCTCACATTCAAGGGCTGTATGGTCCTTCCTTCTTAAGGGTTCTCATGACTGATCTGTATGATCCCATCCTATGAGGACAAAGGTTAGATGAGCCACCTGTCACAGGAAGCTTCCATCCTGCTTGAGAAGAGCAAAAATTAGGGTGGAACTGTCAGTACTGTGGAGAGGAACTTGAACCCAGCCATGAACAATTTACAAACATATTTATTTAGGTCCATATTTACAACTGAGTAGAAATCCTTAAAAACTGAATATTTAACCGTGAACATCAATGCTTTGTTTCAAATTCAAATTTTTCACATCCAAGAAATTTGTGCTGCAGTTTTTAAGTAGAAAGCCAATGTTCTCTCATATTTGAGTACAAGACCAACTCCATATTTTCAAACATCATCATTAACTCAGATTGTACGGCTATCATTTCATGCTTTTAAATAACTTAGCTTACATAAACTTCCTGTTTGAAGCCTAATTGTTATGATTTTGAAGCATAACTTCAAATTAAATCTGGCCAAGTTAGTACTTCAATCTTTGTCCAGAAGGTGGCATCAAAGCTACTGTGTGTTTCAATGATGTCATGAACATTCCATGACAAGATGTAAAGCTACCAGTTACATAAAATTCAGTGGCATTTGACATCTCCAGAACTTACACACATGAAATTCATATGTAGATTGTTACATTAAATCTGAATTCACTTACATTTCATGTGAGTAGCACTGAAGTAAATGTAATCTCAAATTACATTTAAATTCAATGTAACAAAAACTTCAGCTTTTTATTGCTTTACATTAGCTTGAAAACTTTTTCATAAGAAAAGCAGACACATTAAATTTTGATAGAAATCTGAATAACTTTAATTCACAACAAAAGTGACATGTTTCAAGAAAAAAAAAAAACCGTTATCCTAATGTATTCATTAACAACATGTAGCCTAAAACATCTGCAGACGTGAGGGTGTTATTTCATTGCATTTACTATCCATACTGTCTGCTATGGATTATTTGTACAGCTATTCCAGACCTCTGCAAAGTAGTTATCATAAGGAAAAGTTTCCTAAGTGTATTTCACCATCTCCTTAAATTTATTATGTAACCTATCAGCATAAGCATTTAAAATTAAACAGACAAGACCTCCATACAGATTCATGAATGTAGATACCCCAACTTCTGCTTATGAAAAATGATTATGATTTTGATAAAAATCGCTTAATGTAAGAGTTGAGTTCTCCTGTCACCTGCAAAGCACATTATAGTTACACTTTTACTCGAACAACAAAGCAAAGAAGAACTATTTAACAATAAAAAATTTAAATTTTGTGATCTACTGAAGTTGAAAAGAAAAAAAAAAAAAGGGAGAGGGTACCTGCAGTGAACAACAACAGGTTCTTCTCTGCCTGCCCGCTTCTTTCTCACGAGGCACACGAAGTCTAGGAAATCACTGGAATCATCAGGAACCCCGTGGTCAGGCCATGCTACGTACTGAATTTGGGTCAGATGGCGGCTTTCCTCCTTCTATCAGAAACATAGGATTTATTTAAGGTTTGTTCAGGTTTCACAGAAAGAAAGAAAAAAAAAAAAAGGTACATTTACGTCAACTTGCACTTGAAAAAATGTAGCTTCTGGAAGCTATCAATCTCTGTAAGTGTTAATTACTACTCATCCTGGATTTTATAATTACATTTTTTAATTAAAAACAAAAAAGGCAAGTAAAAAAAAAAGTCACTCCATCTAACAGTAAAACAGCTCAAGGGTACAAATGCTCTAAGCACAAGATATGCAAGCAAGTAGCCAAATCTTCAGCATCTTTCTGTTAAGTTAGTTTTACTATGGTTCTATCAAATGACAGAACAGGGGTGCAGAGGGGAAAGACTTGACTTCCAAACCTTTGTTCAGACTGTGTGAGCACAATGGGTTATCTGCACCTCCAATTTTATCTAGCATACTCCGCAAGATGCAAGAGGTTTTCCACTCTCTCCCACGTCCCCCTGCTCTAATGTCACCAACATTTATCACACACCTCTGCTTAGTGGAGGGGGCAGGATGCACAATCAGAGTAAAAGCAGCATTTCAAAGAATAGAAGCTACCATACACCAAATTACTCTTCAGCATGGAATCATTTGCAGAGATGCCACTATTGATAATACATGAGCAATTGTCTCAACAGCACCCAGGAAAAAAAAATTAACTGAAAACTGAATAAAAGGCAGTTCTATAAACCTGGAATCTCATCTGGAAACCCAAGCAGTGAGAATTGAGTACCTGAACTAAATTCCAGAAAAAGATTTCTGAACATTTCTGAGACCAAAATGATACCTGGTGAAGTTCTGGAAGTTATACATCCCCTGAAACTAACACTATGCCTCTTCTGTCTAGAAAGTCCTGGTTTACATCTCAATGCTGATATCAATCAATGAATCTCAGCAGGATTTATCTTCCATATATTTTTACGCAGTGTCTAAGCTGGAGAATTATTAAGAACTATTTACCACTATAAAGGCTGATTTTCAGCAGTGATACTGAAATACTGCTAGTATCTCATGCTTTGAAAACATGAAGGGAATAGCACATTTCTTGACTTCTTTAATTACTTTTTATTTGATCAGGCCATGTAAGACAAGAGTAATAGTCTTCATGAGAAATGATTTAATCACATTATTTAATCTGACTCGGTACCAATTAATACCATTACGGAAATCAAATCCTTGTAATATTTTGCTAATAAAAGGTTTGTTATTATATAGCAGAACTCATTCACAATAAGTACATGGCAGTAAGATTAGTTTTCTAAAGGTTGTTAGAAATAACGAGTTCTATTTATGCATACATGACATCAAGATGTAAAATGTCTGATTAGATAGTTTCATCTAGTCTGTGAGGATTTCATAGGTTTTTACTTAAAAATATACATTATGTCTTTACCTCCAGATTAGTCAATGTCATTTCTCGAAAGACGTAAGCAGGATTTCCTTCTTCTGAATGGCAGGTAATCTGGAAATTGCCATACGATGAGCTTCCTGATGGCTCTGGCCAGTATTGATGGCATTTAACCTAAAGCCAACATATGTCTGGGTTTCAATTCAGATTATTTTCATTCCTGCTAATTCCTTATGCCATTGCTCAGTAAAAAATATTTTAACAATTCTGTTACTACTATTGATTTACTTACCAAATAGACTACACTATTCAACTATTGCATATAAAATGTTATTGTGGAAATCTCCTGCTTCTCTTTAAAAGGACACATGAACCAGCTATTGACCTTAGTGTAATTTTGAATGAATGCCTTTCCCTTTCATCACAACTTTTTTTTTTTTTTTTTAATGTATCAATAACTTATTTCATCTTAACACTTGAGGGACACAGATGCTGCTTTATAAATATTTCTGACCTCTGGAAACCTCATACAATCTCACAATCTTCTCAAAACACATTTATATGGGAAAAGAACATGTGAAAAAAAAAAAATAGTAAGCAAGCAACAAAAATGTTGCTGCAGGAATTAGGGGGGTGCAGATGGAACTTCAAAGATATTTTAAAAAACCTTTAAATGTGAATTAAAAGTTCAAAACCTCAGATTTTTAGATAAATCGCTTAACTGCTGAACTCAAGAGGTCATTTCAGCTCAAGTGTACTTTTGTTTTTCCAACCCACCTGGCGATTCTTTAAGAGCAGCCAGATTTGCAGACTTCCTGCTCCACTGAGACACCCCGGCATGCAGTGGGATAGTGATGTCAGAAGCCTCATGATCAGCTTTAGAGCAGGGAGTCTGCCTATGGGTATAAGACAGATAAGTCCTTTTATTTCATTATTTAGCAGCTCTCTGAAGAGCTCCACAAATGCCATTATTAAGGGGGTGGGAGAACCTCAGAGAACTGCTAGTGCAAGTCTGTTCTTAGCAGATCTGCAAAGAAAATTCAAACTAAAAGGGCACTTGTACTGAAATTCCCTCTAATCATGTTCATTTCGGAACAGGCAGCACCATGCTAACACTGAGTTGTTGAAAAATGGCTCAAAAACACTGCAATTCTTATCCAATTACTTTAATTGCATTTAGAAGCCTTATCTCCCAGCAAATACATGGCTATTAATAAGTTAGAATATGTACCGACAGCTAAACTACAGTCTGAGCTGATCAGAACACCCATCACCTTCCATAAATCCACCTTCAAAAGCAAAGCTATACTATGAGAAACTCCACTAAACTGCTACTCTAGCCTGTCAATTTCTGTCCACATACAGTGCTACTGTGAATGCACCAGGCTATAAACCTGGTAGCTCTGGAATTATGCTCTGTGAATCACTATATTTTATTGTTTTGCTCATCTCTAAGAGACAAAGCTGTATAACAAATGAGACTACAAAGAAAAAGCTATAGCTTTAAAAACAAAATAAAAACACCTTAAGGTTTTTTACAGAACCATTTGTAATTATTTCTAGTAATCTGTAACTCTCCATTTCCACTTTTTTTTTAATGAAAAAGACTTAAAGGACAATGATTCCTTTGTGCAAGTAAACAGATGTTCAACTCTTCTCAATGTATGAATTTTATTTCAATCTTATTAAGGATTCCCTTAAGCACAGCCATTCAGACTTTCTCTCAACAGTACAGAACTCCATTGGGCTGCATTAAAATTCATCTCTACATATGAAAGAATTAATTACAAAAACTGATGACATTTCTTAGTTTCCTCATTCAAAGATGAGAAAAAAAGACTATTTTAACAACAGAGTCAAAGCAGTAAGTAAAAAATATTTTAAGAAATACTTGGACTTCAGTACATCTCAGCACCAAACAAAGTTTTCATTAAGCTACTTTAACAATATCAAAAGGTTTAAAATGTAAGAATAATAATCACAACACTATTAAGAATGCACTGCACTTATGAAAAGTTTGTAATATTATCTTCCACTTATCTTTTAGAGAGCAATCATCAACAGATTTTTATTATGCAAGAGGTATTTAAGAGAATCTTTTACTTACCCTGCCCCGTTCAACTTGAGTTGTTAACATTACAACCATAGATGAGCCTTGTTCCCAAGTCATCTGCCAAAAATCAGGACAAGTGTTTGGCAATGGACCTTGACAGGCAATGTACTGGTTTATTATTGTGGAAGAAGGGATTTCCATCTAAGAGAAGATAAAATGATTGTTTTAATTCTTGCATTTGCCATGAGAATGAATATCTGTCAGGCATCGGTGTTCAGTGACTAATACATTAAAAGAAGTATCACTACATGAAATATATTTATTTTAAGTTAGTCATTTAAAGAGTATCAACTGGAAGTGTTTCACACTCAAAATTAGTGCGAGAAACCACACACGTTTGGGAGCGTGCAAGTAAATTCACTGACAGTTAGTGGTTGAAAATTAAAAGGTAAGGAAATGACATTCTTTGACTTTCTGACACTAGTTTTTAAACAGTGATTTTGGAATTTAATATCTGTGGTTTTTTTGGTGGTGGTGTTTTTTTGTTTTGTTTTGTTTTGTTGTTTTTTTTTACACAAGGGAAAGCAAAGTAGGAAGAAGAAAGTACTTTTTTGTTGCTACTGACAATAAGAAATAAATAAGCAAATGTTAATATGTGCTTCTAGATAAGACTTTTCTGGTGTTGACCACTGCAGCCACATTGGCAATCCATTAAGAACTCTGATACTCTGATAGACAGCTACTTTTTCCAAAGGTTTTTTTGCATGTTTATTTTCATTTAGAAAGTATCTGCCACCAAGCATTAGTAAATAAGTAAACCTACAGTACATTTCTAACCATCTGATTACTGGCTTATTATTTTAGCCTGAGCTAGATTTACAGCAAATTTATTTCATTAAAATTCTCCATTGAAAAGTTGAAAATTACTTTATGACAGAAACAATTTTTAGAAGCATTACTCACATTTATATAATTTGCATTGATGTAATCTTCATTACTTTTTAAAATAACCCGTGTAGCATCATCTGAAAAAAATTTGTAGAAAAACGTTACTTATTTACTAACTGCAGTAAAATACTCTTAGAGCACAAAGACACAGATACTTACAAGGCGAAATGTCTCTGTATCTATTTTTGGAAATGTTTTGAGGTAATCTGGCACAAGACATTGTCATTCCAGGCTTTTTCCTATACAGTTGCTGAAGTCAAAAATAAAAAGAAAAAGAAAAAAGACGAGATCATAAGAGATGCAAAATACCTGCCAGTATGTGCCTTGAAATACTTTTTAGAACATAAATTATTGAACAAAGACAGCTTTAAGAAACGTGGAAGCATTTTTCAAAACAAAGCACTATGAATTATTCTATGGGATCATTTCACCACATCCGTACATCTCTTGACTCAAAGCTACACACTGAAGCCATTTATAGAACACTGTTTTGCAAAACTGTAACTTCACTGGAGGAGCTTCCTGTCTAAGCCTATGCAATGTAATATACGAGGCATGTATAATGCAAAATGGACTCCAGGTGTAAGAAGTACATGTTACCAAAGGCTTTATTGATACACATCGTAATACATAACTTCAGGTCTCTGATAAGGAATTCATGCTGCAGTGTTTTATAAACCTAATTCTTCCTGCTTTTAGTCATATGACCTCCATGTATTAAAGAAGATGGAATATTATCAAAGCTCAAGTTCATGTTAAAGAAAAACTACAAGTATCAGTGCCTTAGGAGACCACAGAAAGGGCACTGCTCTTTTCAAGTATGTCAAAGAATTAACTATTTATGAAGACTTCTGTTACACATATGATTAAGGCTGTGTTTTCCATTGGTCATTCTGTATTTGCTCATTGAAATTGTCCATTAAATGTCAAAAGTTCAGCTGTCGCAGCTTCTGCATTGACTTTGGAAAGAATGAAGGTCTGAGCACGGAACAGGATTTTTGGTATGCGTTCTTTAGTCTTCATCCTTATAGAAGTATTACACAAGCATAGGTCCCTGACAATCATAAAAAGATGCAAGCAATCAATGAAGATATTAAAAGTGAAACAATTTTTAAGTGTATTTGGATCAGTTACTCTATGCTGTAACTCTTCTGTGTTTCCCTACAAGGCTTGACTTTTTAATTTTTTTTTCTCTGAAAGTGTTAAATCAAGTTTTCCTAAAAGATGCTGGCTATACTGAAATTTGACTGACATTTTCTTTGTTTAAAATGATTACTTATCCCAAAAGACTTGGAACTCGTACACAGCTAGCTTCACGTAATGCAGTACTCACATCAAATTGAGCTAAAACAGTTCCAGTGATAAGCCCCTCTGCTAGCTGAATCATGGATTCTCTCAGAGCATTATCATCTTGATGGACACCATCAAGTGGTGATTTCTCAGGGATGTATTGGAAGTCAGGTTCGCTTTCCAGCTTCTCTTCCACAACATCATAGACAGCTGTAACAAATAAAGTTATGGAGATTTTAGATAGATGTGTTTAAATAAAATTGTAATACAATTAAATTAGGTCATTTAATTAAATCATCCAAACGGACATATTCCTCTTGTAGAAAAAACTGCATTTATTAACACAGTGATTTTAAGCCCCACTAGCACAGGCAGAAAAGGCTTTACTGACTACTACTACCCAGGACGTGACTATTGTGACTTAATTGTCATTTTAAGTAGAACTAGTTCATTGGCTGCTGAAGTTTTGATCAAACCTCCTGTCACCTGCAAACTCATCTGATGCATTCCTTAATCCCAGATCCACACATTACACCTCTATAGTCACTACAGTGGTATTTATATTTTTTCAGTTTGACCAATTTATTCTTTTAGGCTTCTGTAAACAGGCAAGACACGTAGATCATCACCAGAAAAAATGGCACTGCTACACGCCATAATAACACCATCAATGCTACACTCTTGTTTGGTCTATAAACAAATTGAGAAACAATATGAATCATCTACTATACATGGCAAACATACGCTGCCATAAGGTTTCTCTTTAACCAAAATCACATGACCTTGAAGGAGAGATCTGGCAACTCCTCACTTCTACAACTTGAGTATTTTTATCCGGAATACAAAGATAACCAACATAAGAGGATACTGATTTAATAAGCTGGTAAACAAAACTAATGATTTTATCTGGAAAAAAAAAAGTACATACAAACACTGCAAGAAAACTTGCATGCAGAACAGAAGCACACATAGCTGGGAAGCATTAATCAGTGAATACAGGAAAAATTGTTTATGATGTATCACATTCCAATTATTCTGATTGAGCATCATTATTTTTCAATTTGCCTTTCTTGGTTAATTGTATTATAACTGGGATGCAGAGTAGAATTAAACACAGTGACCACCTGCTGAAGATTAGCAAATCAAGACAAGATGCCTTTTTTGTTTGTTTTTTGTTTTAGGTACAAATCACTCACCATTGGGTCGAACGAGGAGCACAAGTTCCCCTGAGTGCCTCTCACAGCTAGCTTTAATGAACATAACAACTTGATCATGGGTATGTTCTGCTATATCCCTGCCATTGATAAGTACAACCTGGTCTCCTTCATTCAAACGAGGGACACAAAGATCAGCCTGCAATGTTAAAAAAAAATAAATATGTGTAAAATGAGCTGTTTCCAAGTTTCCACCTTATAACAACAACTTCGTCTATATTCATCTAATTTGAATCCTACAGCTAAGTTGCTATGGTTGCTGCATTGTATTCAGAAAACAAATCTGAGTGTTGCACAATACATGAGATGGTGTCATTCATTCAAACACTCTGATTTGTCACTGGGAAGAAACTGTCATTTTAACATATCTTCAGTAGCTGTTACTCTGCTCCTTCCATTAAAGTAGAAGGCTTAGTTGAGCTTCCCTTTCTGAATTTCATATAGACAACCTAAAAAGCAGGATCTTCTCATCTTAGAAGGGAAGAGAGTAAATTGTCCAAATCAATTTCATAGGCTTAAATGCTTCAGTTATGAAATACTACAGTTGTAATGACAAAACTAAGGCAATGACTAAAGACAATGCACAAATCCAAAGAATCCTGGAAAGACAAAAGAACCAATAAAAATAATACCACAGTTTTACCATGAAATGTAAGAACGTTTTTTAAACGTTAGCAAAGAGATGGTCAGCTTTACTCTAAAAGGCATAAGCAGAGCTGGCTTCAATCAGCTCAATACCAGGTCAGTATTTCTGGCAGTCAAGTGACAGAACATTGTGCCTACTTTGAAGGACACTACTGATTGTCACCAAACACCAGTAACAACAGTCAGACCTGATGAATGATTCCTGATGCCCAATTTTAAGTTAAGTCTTGGTTTTATTCAGCTCTGTCACTTTAATAAGAGGTGTTTGTATTTGCTGTTTTAGTTATTTTTAACAGAGAACTCCACATGTAATTTCTATGGCATTATATTAATGCCTCTACTAAAAAACTGCAAGCATAGGCATTTTTAGGATGACAGCTCAAGAAGCAATGCATAATGAACATCTGCAGATCCAATTTTCTGGCAGCAAAATAAGCAATTTTTCTGAGGATTAAATAATTTTTATTTGATTTATTAAATATGTTGCACAGACCTAGGAAATAACTACCAGTTTTGAGCTCGCATTTCAAAGACAGCCATAACAACTAGTTTGAATTTTGGTAACTTACGGGTGTTCCTGGAGCTACCCTGGACACTATTACTGGCATCTTCTGATCATATCCACCCTTTAAAAACAAATTACACTTTGTCATAAATCATAAAAGAAATCAGAAAATGAAGTTAAGAAACACAAAACAAAAATAGGTGACTGTACCTTTACATTGAAGCCAAACCTTCCGTTTTCATCTGGTTTCATTCTGATCATAACAAGATTGTCATGGGGAACACCACCATTGGGCTAGTAAAAGCAAACAACATAGATATCTATTACTATGTTCTGTGTTCAAAGTTAGCACAGTCTTTGAGGATATTGTATAGAATAATTTTTCCTATTTTTCATAAAGTAATTGCTATTAGGCACTTGAGAAAACATCAAATAACACAAATACCTTTCTTGAGTTTTGCATAGAAAGAAAAAAGAATTACACACCTGAAATCTTGGACACAAGTTACAAGTCTGTTCTGTCAAAGCAATCTCAAATAAGAAATCATACTAGAACAGGCAAACAGGCTTCAAACAGTCCTAAGAAAAACAAATTACTAAGTGGAAATAATTTAAATTCATTTTACTTAAGACTGCAGAAAAAAGCCTGCAGTAAAAATGTGATATACTCCTACAAAAAAGAGAGAAGAAAATTGAGGTGTTTTTCATCCCTTCCCCCAACAACAGCAACATGATGTTAGTAAGCAGGAATAAGTTCAGAAATAAAATCTTGGTTCCATATCCCCTGTCCTATTTCCTCCACAGTACAGTATTAGTTTTGCCAAGCTCTGACAACTTGAGTAGGGTTTTTTGGTTATTTTATCAGAAAAACCTTGTCATGGGATCCATTAATATACTGGGGATACTACTTGTATAACCTGTCAAAAATCAAATTATTGTCATTGAAATGATTCTTAGTTTGTTCCACATTACTATTTATTTCACAAGCTGAATACGACCCAGTATTTTTAATAATACTTCACGTCCAAACCATAAACACATTGGTTTGGACTAGATGATCTTGTAGATCCTTTCCAACCTTGTGATTCTATGGTTCTATGACATAAGCTTCATTGACATTTAACAGAATCAACTACACAAAATGTAAGATTCATATTCAGGAAGGAAGAAAAATCATCAATTTATTAAAGAAAAACAAGTATTCCTAAGTGTTATGAAAGTTCAAAACAACAACAACAAAAAAAAACAACTTGGTTTTACGCATTTTGTGCTTCTTTTTAAAGTAAAACCACCCCACACCTTCCCCTAACACATTCATAACAATGAAAAGATACAAATTTGGGGAAGGAGAGGAAAGTAACAGCCTAAGATATGTTGATGAGAAAGTTATTGTTCATTCTGCACAAGAACCAAGGTGTGGCAAGATCTGTGCCATTCCATTCCTCAGGAAAAAAAAAAAAGAATTACTTCCCACTTTAACAAGCAATTTTGTGGAGCATTTTATAATGAAAAATCCAGAGAGAACACTACATATCATCATTAACTTGTCTAATTGAAGAGACTCCTGACCACACCTGTTTGAAAACACATCTGCATATTCTCAGACTGGATGCTTAAGGACTGCTGGTAGAAGAAAATGCTGTCATTTCCACACCTGTCCTGCTAACGTATGGGCTCTCCCTATTTTAACAGGCAAAGGAAATCTGACAGCTTAATGAAGTCAAAATGGTGAGGGTTATCCTTGAAATATTTGAGATGGAGCAACAGAAGAGATTTCAGTGGTACAGGAACCTGAGGTGCATTCTGGTCAGAAAAAAACCCCACACTCTAAATCCTAAATTTCCAATTTCACAAAATGCAGGAGTTGTGCTATGTTCTTCCTTGTCTAGGACCCAAAATAAAAAGCAGTCATCAGACTAAATTATACCTTCAATTACAACAGTGTGCTGCCTTAAGAGCAGCAGGAATGTAATTGGTTGGACCTTAGCAAACAATCACAGTGACAAGGCACATGGAAAAAGCAATCTCATTCTGCAAAACCAACACAGCTGTGTGAGAACTAAAGGGAGTTCCAAAAAAACACACTACTGAAAGTTATTTCTGTCAATTTGGTACAGATAACTGAATACCAGATGACTTGATGAGTAGTTGTTTTTCAAAACACAACTTCACTATGACTCAGGTAAGCATGAAAAGGAGATGAAGTTGTTAGAAACTATTTCATGATTTAATTAAAGCAAACTTTTCATGACATTCCGAAAGTCCTCATAACTTTTAAGTTTCACTTCTATGTCTTTTATTAAAACTCCAGCTCTGAAATTAAGTATGGATTTTATGGGAATCTTAACTTTATAACAAGGCCTGAAAGAACATCCTAGGCTTGGAGTTCACAGTACAGTATAAAACTAACTAGAGGCATTTCTAAAATATCAATCTTGAGAGCTGACATAATTGTGAGCACCTATGGTTGGTGAAACTGTTTATAAAGTATTTGTTACATCTGAAAAATGTTTCTTGTCCCATATCAGTATAAAACCAAAACCCACTTGTAAACTTCTGTTAGGACAAAAAAAAAAAAATTTTTTTAAATCACAGAAATGGTTAAGACAGACAATAATCAACTGACCATTTTAGTTATCTAATACATGCCCAAGAAAAAAAGATTTGTGTAGATCTTCACATTCCTTGCCATCAGTGCCTTGTTAACATATTCCTTTCTTGTAGATCCTGATCAGAAATACTACCACAGATTCAGTAATCCTCTCCTAACAGAACTACTCTAGAAGCTGGTAGGAAGTTTTAGAGAGTACATTTAGCTTTTTGATAAAAGCCAGATGAAATGATTTTTCAAATCAGCAGTCGTTCAGTTCAGTTTCTTCTTTAAAGCTGACAGTAAGTGACTTTCCAAATAAATCAAATAGAAGCATTTACAAGTGGAGAAAATTTGAGCATGATAATAAAAACTAAAATGCTTTGCACAACCATCTCAGTTTAGTCATTTGGTGGCAAAAGACAAAGGACCACTCCAGCAGGTGGAAAATGGTAGCAGCTAGCAAAGAGATGGTACATAAAATGGTGTTTGGAACTTCCAATCTAAGCCATTCTTCACTTCTATGAAATGCTGAAATGTAATGCACAAATGTGGCACAACCCTGAAATCAGAATCAAGCTTAGAAGGAGTAGAATTGCTCAGACAAAAAGCAGAATAATTAAACTGGATCTAAAGAACTTACTGTGGACTTTTCAGGAGATGCAGGGACATCAAATGCTTCATTGATGTGGTTATCCAGTTCTTGCTGCGAGTGTGAATGATGAATTTGGTTCCAACTGTTCTTCTTGAATTGTTTGGGTGGTAATGCAGGAGGCTGCCCATCTATGGGAGTTTCTTGAGATCTAAACACCAAAATACAGAAAGTATGAAGTGGAACAATTATTAGATACTGACAGTGCTTTAAGGATTCCAAGTAAACAAAACAAACTGCTTGGAGAAACTATGAGTTGGAGACCTGAACATATATATATTTTTAGAATCTCAAAACTTTGCTGCTGTAGTAGAATAGATTGGAAGTGCAGGTTTAGCAATGTTAGTCATTTTTTCTTGAAAAGCAACTGTAGGCAAGTAAACCAGTAAGTTTCACTTCTACATGGCTGTTGTGTTGTGTTTTGTTTTTGTTTTTGTTTGTTTTTTAAACCTGAGGTCCTACCACCTTTTGTGTTTACAAACAATAAAATTCACCACATTTATGCCGTATGCTCCAGCTAAAAAATACGTACCTAAAATACATAACACTTACAGTATTTTCCCCAATAAGGTTTTTTTTTTTTCTCTCCACAAATTAATGACTGAAATTTACATCTCAGAAACAGACAACAGCATTAGAATGAAGTGCTCCCACAATTGTTTTTGGCTATTGATCTAGAAATACAAGTGACAATTCAAAACAATTCAATTGTCCACTTACAGTTCTTTGAAAAGCTGACTGGAAACAACAGTGTTAAGTTTTCCCACTTAAATAAAAGCTTAACTGTATAATTTGTATTACGTAAATTTATGATTCATCTTTCATTATATGGCACTGTATGTTTTTAGAGGCTTAAAAGGGCTCCCATTAACCTCGTCTGAATGCCAGTTTCTAACTACCAACACGGATACGTGCCTTCCTCCCCATGAACCACATTAAAAGATATCATTAAGTAATTTCACTACTTACGACAACAGCCCACTGATACTAGTGGCAAATCCAAAGACCTCAAGGAATGAAGTTACAGGTTACAGCTACTTATGAGAATGCTACCTCCAAAAGTGGGTGCTGCCCTTCTTCCATCTGCTCCTCATGCCCCCTTCCCTGAATTGCTCCAGTGATCTTCCCTCAGCCAACCCAGCTTACCAAACAAGCAGAAACAGTGACTTTTTGGACAAGTTTGGCTAGCTAAATGCTGGTTCAACAAGGCGACTAATCTCCAGGCGCAGGGAAGGAATGACACTCCTGCAGGCCAGACATAGGACACTGTTCCTTCCTTAGCAGCAAGCTGTAGCACTGACTCACACCTGAGAGCCCTGTGAGGAGTGCTACCTCAGTTACTACTGGGTCTGCTGCAGTAAACTGGTAGCAGAGGGAGACTCATTAGAAGAGAGTACAGCATTTCAAGTTGCTGCAAGTAGTAAAACCTAAGGCAGAAATGCATGAAATTCCATGCTGCAGAATGCAAGCACTGTAAAAAATACATTCATTTTCCATTTCATGTTAAAAATTTAGGCTGTTTTTTAGAAAACAAAAATACTGATAGGGTTCTTTTGGAAACAAATCCTAATATTGTGTTAGATGTTTTCGCTTAACCTCAACTTTTAGAAAATAAATGTATTTTGCAACACAACTATCTTGGGGAATTGACTAAAAAGTTGCCTTTTTTCCCTCCGAATAAGTAGCTTTTCTGAAGATAGTTTATTGGAAAGAGAAAAATACGATTGTCAACATCTGCAAGATGAATTTTTCAAGGCTGCTATAAATTATTTAGACATTCACTCGCAAAGGTCACCCAGAGCTTTTCAACTGCCCGTGTATTTATACATTCAGGTCCAGGCGGCACAGGTTATTCATCCTTTTCAAGACAAGGGCAACATAGTTACATATCTGCCTGAAAACAATTACTCCTGAGAGCTCTAAACCGAATGAAAGAGGAAAACCTTTGTAAAGACACAAAAGCCTCCAGATAAAAGTGAGAGATAGAATCCTATGTTTGACTAGACGCCGGTACATATGTCAGCAAACACAAATAAATTCCCAAAGAAAATACAAACTTATACAAAAGATTTGAAAAAGTTACTCAGATGAGCATTTTCGTAGGAGCAAGACAAGCGCTGTAATGTATTAGCATAATGAATTGTGAGAACTAACAATCAAGCCTTGGGCAAAAACTTCATTGCTTTGTATTTGCCCAGTCAGCTTTGAATCTCCTTATGAATGCTCAGACAATGGCCATGAAAGCAGCCTGCTTGGCAGGCAAAGGAGCTCTCTGTTACTGCATTCATCCATTTACATAATAATACAATAACCCATAAAACCTCACACTGACAACCTCTGTGTATTTTTGTTACAGATATCCGGTCTGACCTTTCAATATATTAAGCAAACACTTCGTACATGCACCCATAAGGTTATTAAACTATATATCACGTGCCTTTTGAAGTTAAGGTTATAATCAACTCAGTGTGCTCTGAGCAGAAAGATCTCAGTTGAGTTCCAAATAACACACGCAGTTGAAGACAAAAGACCGGATTATCTAAGCAAAAGTCTCCTAATACTCACTGGAGCTCTAATTTCTTTTGCTATATTGACTCCAAATTTCATGAGATCACTACATTGAAAGTCAGCTTAGCTCCTCTTCCCTTCTTTTGTATATACATTTGATATGTGAATTCCCAACAACTTAGCGGATGGAGCGCTTGAACCTTCTAACTCAGAAGGGCCAAAATGTTTAAGCAGTCGATTTTTGGATGCCGAAACAATCTCATTTTTAATTATATGGTTAATATACATGTCGTTACTCTGCTACTTTTATTCAGAAATAAAAAAGCTTTAAACAACACCTGAAACTTTCAGAAGACTCCTTGAGGATTCGTATTTTGACAACCAATATCCTTATTCTTAAAAATACCTCATGCTAAGTAATTACAGTGGTAGATTCAATTCCACTTTTGAACTTGTGAATAGAAAAAGCAATATTTTTTTCTATTAGGGAATAAAAAAGCGCAAGCCATGAAAAAGAACACCCGGAGCTGCATAACTAATTTGCAAAAACACTTCCTCTCTTTTTAAGACTCATTTCTATGGTAACTCGTAAAAGTAGTCAGCTATTAAATTAACAAATCCAAAGGACATTCGGGAACTTATTCTAGAACCATCATTCTAGAACTTAATTTAGAATAAAGGCATACAAAGAAAGGAGCATTTTGGAACTTTGCTTATTTTGCTGTGTAACTCTATCACTCAAGATTTTCTCTTAACTAAATTGACTGTCTTAGAAGGGAATGGAAATGACAGCATGGATTCAGTCAGCCAAATTCAAGCATGAAACAAGATTTACAAGTGTTCCAGTTTTTGAGACTCCCTTGTCACACAAACAGGTTTCAAAATCCCACCAAGAAAGGGCAGATTTATGTTATTAGGCTAAAATATTTTTTCTACAGCAAACAAATGATGGTCAAAGTCATAGTTGTTGCACCTTATAAAAAAAAGTCTTAGTTTACAAAACCTTAATAAAATTTTTATTCTACCCCCTTCCCAAAGTTATGCAAAGCTGTTGAAAAGGAAGGCATGATCCACTGAAGGTTCTAAAAGCCCTGAATACATTCCCAGATTCTTTTTTATGGAGATACACCAGTTTTCTTTTATAAAAAAAAATACGTAATTGTGCATGCATTGGTTTGTACTTCTCAAATGGTTTTAAAACAATCTGCACAACATACTTTCTTACAGAGGTTCTACAAAATTAGAAAGATAAACTTAGAATTATATGCATACATACGTATAAGACACAGCAGCATGTTCATATGGTCCACAGCATGCAGCTCTTTTCCCCAATTCATTTCTCCTTCTTAGCTTTTTCTGAGTATTTCAAACCTTTGAGCAACTTTGCTTTGTTTGAAAACTTTGTTTGCTTGAAAAATATTGTTTCCCACAAGATTCCTTTTCCTTCAAGAGTCTTTTTTTGTTTGCTTTGTGTTGTTGTTGTTTTTTTTTTAATGCACAAAAACTTTTATTTGTAAACTGGTATAATAATTAATTTTTATTACAATTTTATAGTCAGTTAGATGACAACTTTTCCATCAAGAAAAGCTGTTCCATGAAAAAGGAAGATCTAAATTACGCTTCCGAATTTAACAATTCTTCATTTTGATAATTACTAAATGGCACACATTCAGCTTATCAGGAAAAAACAGACAACAGTGCGATCTTAAAAATAGAGATACTCTGTAGCAATAGGCAATATAACATCATGTATTACATACAATGTAACAAAGTATACTGAGACCATCAGAAGGCTGGGCTGCTAAATAGACATTCTGGCTAACTTGCAGGGCTCACACTTTTATGCCTTGACAAAACAAGATTTCCAAACTCGTGGGAATTCAAAACTTGTATCATAGAACAACATACTTCAGGTTCTACCAAACTAACTTTTGCATCCACATCCAAACACTGATGGCCACATTACAGCAAGGGCAAAAGTATGGCAAGGGGAAAGGTATGACAGCCCTGCATCAGGAATGTGTTAGATAGAGGTCTGCACTCCTGTATCATCTCATTTTTAGCATGGCTTACCCTAACAGTCCCTAACAACAGGCACCTTTTCATCAGATTTTCTGTCACACCCCCAACCCAAATGTTTAAAACTAAATTCCTTATGGCAAAGACCCATGGCAATCAATAGAAACTTACGGTGATGATTCCAGTATTATGCTGTTAGCCTGGGTGGAAGATGGAGATCTGTGGTTCACAAACACTTCACTTGGTGAAGTGTGAACTACATGGTCCACTAAATGTCCAACCGAGGAGGGTCGTAACCGAGCTCCTTCTTGAGTGAAGGCGGAGTTGCGGCTAAAAGGGAAAACATAGCAGTGCAACGTGGAAATAATTTGATTATTAACCTACACTTCCTACATCAATACAAAAGAATAACTTAGGGGAAGCCAGAATAACACTTTTTCTTCTCTGTGCAAGCATACGTTCACAATGCTAGGAAACAACTTCATGTCTCAAAGAAAAAACACCGAAACATTTATTTTGTCAGTTAAAATACCATGCTTCATAACTTTCTCGTTGAAAGTGTTTAAAAATTATTTCCACAAATTCTACTAAAAGGCTTTGAAAGATACTGTTTACAATGAACAGGCTACAGGACAGACAGTCCACTCAGTGAGAGTTCACTAAGTTCTTTCATTAAGAAGAACATTTCATCACACCCACTTGCTACTAGAAAGAATCATAAGAATTATATTTTTTTTATATACATACATATATGGTTATTTTCCAAAAGAAATATGGATTTTTTCCTAAACGTGAGCCAGAAAGCTCTAACATGTGAGAAGTGAGCTTTGAAAGGAATAAAAGAAAAGGGGAAAAACTGATGGAAATAGATCCACAAATATATATGATCAAGTCATTTCCCTGAAAACTTTACAAACCAATTACTTCTAGAGTATAGTAGAGATTTCATTATTTTTTTCCTTAGCCCAATGGATAATTTGATTTTAACTATGCTTGATAAAACTCAAGCTCTTTGAGTAGCATGCTATCCTTTACACTTTTTATAAGTTGAGTGAAAAGTACTTAAACCTATAAAAGTACTTAAAATACTTATAAATACTTAATTACTTATTTACTTTATAAATACTTATAAAAGTACTTAAAATTCACCCCACAGACAGTTTCTTGTGCAGAGTTAAATGTTCCAAAGAGCTATTCAGCACACAATTTTGTGAAGTTCTTTTAACCTCCATAAAGCATTATTCCTCTCATAACATACGTGTGTCCCTCACTTCAGAGGAAGACAGTCACTTCCAGGGAGAGATGTGATGCTACTCACTGATTTGGGGTTCCAGGTGGAGACCGTGATGGTAAGCTTTGGGTTTCTAACCTATCGTCAGACAGAGAGTTCCTGCTCACTACTTCCCAGTCCATCCCACTCATGAGTTTCCGTGCCAAAGGTTTACTGGGGGATCTTGGAGGAAAAAAGAAAAACGATCAATCAGAAATTGTAAGAGGTGAGAACAAGATCATATAAATTCCCCCACAGTGAAACTCTGGATATTCAATCACAGGAAAACAGAGCTATATGGAAGAAAGGAAATGCAATAATACAAAACTATATTTACATAAGCAGTAATGTACCTATGCAGTTTATTTTCCTCAATATTGTTTTCACTTTGTCTACTCTGTACTAGAACATCAGTGAAACAGTCATACAATACTGCTGGCTAGGAGGGAGGCAGGCAAGGTGTTAAAACTTTACCAGCCAATTCCAGCGCCTCAAGGAGAATCTGACACAAACAGAATATTCATTAAAAGATATGAACATGAGAAGTGGAAAAGCTCTAAGTAACCAAACTGTTCATTCATCTCAGAAAAAAAAAATAGTAGTGGAAATATCTGTCCAAAAACAAAAACCTCCCAATGACCGTAAAGAACAGAAAGCAGGGCAATCATCAACACAGTAACCAAGCTGCTGGGCTTTGCCCACTACTCAAGGATTTTCATCTAGGTGACAATTCTTCTTTCCAGAATGAACTGTGACAACAATAAAGCAGATACAATCATGCTCTTTCAAGTTGTTTCTGGGCAACTTTTAGGCTCCGTTTGGCTATGTACCAGAAACATCCTTCAGGTTAAAGGTTGTTATCCCCAGAGTTTCTTAAAAGAAAGCAAACCTCTTTTTTCTCATTCTCTGATCATACCAGAACACATATTCTCCTCTCTTCTGCTGCTCCTTACATTTCCTGAGTGCAAATGAGACCATACGTACAACACCTCACAAAATAGAACATCTTCCTTTTATACCACGCACTGCCAAATGAATCATCCAAAAATTGTGGCTGCCCTTTTCTTAGTGGCATCACATTTGATGGTTTAGATGAGAGCATCATTTAGATCCTGTAACTAAACATACCTGAATTCTTCAGCCAACACCAAAAATTCTTTAAAGCAATCCATAAATAGATGTCCCTGCATTTACTTCTACTGCTCTGATAGTTCTGTGCAACTCAGTTTCTCAACTATTACCCAAACTCCTTTTATTCAAAATATTCCTCAATTTCACGAGTCTTTCATGTTGTGATCATTTCATTCCCCTTTATATATTTATATCACCACATCTTCCTCTACTCTCCAATTCAGCATAATAAGGTGACAACATATTCCTATATCAGCATAATGCCCTCCATCATTTCTTTCCCCCACCCCATAGACCTGTATCAAAAAACAACTTCTGCCTTTCTTGTCCTCTGGAGGATAGTAACTGTTCCTCTTTATCTTCATCTTGGCATTATCACTTTCCAGATTTACTGAAAGTGCAAGTCCGGAAAGGAGGAACCTTGAGAAAATAAGGAACTACTGACACACAAAATTACATCTTACTGGAAACAAGAACTTCAGTTATGATTACATTTTTACTTCTCATAGAACTTAAGGTGTTGGCCTGCATTGAATTTAAGTAGACTATCCTCAGAATTACCAAGAGTCTAAGCCAAAAAGCTACCAAATATCACACTGAATAATCTAGCTTCACACACAGAAACACACATCTTATTATTAATGCCAACACTGTTTGGAACTCAAGCAGTAGACATTTGGGTGTGAAGAGTTCTTAAGCATTTGTTTTGTTTTTAATATTATTTTATACCTTCCTTCTGCCCCCATGCAGTTCTGAATACGTACTGCATGCTGTTTTGCTGCTCAGAAGACTTGGTGAATAGCAGCTGACCAATTTCAGAGAGTTAAGCAACATAGGCTGTTCTAAATCCTTCTGAGTTAGGTTTTATTACATCTTTAAAAAAAAAAATCTAGCAGTATGTTGATAGTTGAAAACAGCAACTATTTATTTCCTGTGGAATAAGACATTCCTTGAATGCATCACTGTGCTTAAGCAGTATTAATTTGATCCAGAAGTAATTAGTTCAACGTCAAGTCAATTAAACCAACATTCTCATTTACATAATTCGCTCCAAATGTGAGCAACTCAAACCACTTTCAAAATCTGAACAGTTAAAACAAAACAAAACCAGCAAAATTGAAAGTCATATCTAATATTATCAGTTCATTAATCTTTTACTAATCAAAGGCTATAATTGACTAGATTTTTGCAAAGTATGTTTGTAGCCAACACACTAACACCAAAAGACAGCTCCACCAGCTCTACTAAGAGGTAAATTCTACGGATTAGGGAACTGTCAAGGGGAAAATGCAGACGATCGTAATATAAGTAAACTCAGGGCTGAAAATATAGTATTTTCTGACAGACATGTAAGGACACTTATGGAACCTTATTCATCCATCTCCAGTGGAAAAAAAAAAAACAGTGGACTACAGGGAAGTTTTGTGTCATTTTTGTTTTGGTTTTGTTTCGAAATGCACACAAACATTGAAAGGCACTTTTATTTTCTATATTATTCAGGAAATAAACTATGAAGAAAGACATAGAAGCATGGGGACAAGGAAGAAATGCATTTTCCCCAAAAATGTGATTTCTGACTGTTTCAAAAACAAGTCACTCCACTGTACCTTCAGTTTGTAACTACATGTTGAACAAACTTCCTCAACCTATGCAAAAAATAAGTACACATTTGAAATGAGAAAAGCATCGCTTCCGTATCAATTTAATCCAATGTTAGGAAAACTCACCTTTTACTGTGGACAGGGTCTGGATCTTTCAGAAATTAAATCAACACCATGACAAACAACTGCAACGTTTATCAGCAAAGGTTCATTTCAATTATTTTATTAACAGCTCTAACCTCAGAGTCCCACCCACTCCTGTTTGTTGCCTCTATTTCCTGTCTTTGCAGAAATTTCAAAGAAAAAGTTACCACAGTGCAGCACTAAACTTCTCAGTGCTGCGGCTTTTTCATACTAGTTCCCTTACCAATACTTAGAAATCTAACAATAAGTTTTGAGGTTTTTTAATTAACATTTAAGATACATTGCAAAATATGCCTGCAAATTTCTCTTTTATTACTCATTCCTTACAATATTACAATAGCTTCCTTAAAGCACTGTGCAGATCGGGAGATGGGAGAAGGGAAAGAAGCCAGAAAAAAAACCTTTTGAAATGCCTTAATAAGCTTTGAAATTTTAAATTCTGCATCTGTCTGCTCACTCTGGATGCTTCCACTGAGCCCCATCACAAGGGGCTGCTACTTAGTAGAGAAAGCTCCTTTCTAATTTCATGCTAATTTTGGTTTATCTACAGAAACACACCTAAAAACATCAGAAGAAGTCCTGCCTATCTGAGAAGGGACAGAAACCAAAAACTTCACCTGCACCCCAAAATCAGAAATAGTCTTTGGAGCTGCAATACTACATCAAACACAATAACACAGCAGGTAGGATGAAATTACATAACACAACTAAAAATGCATGACACAAGTGGTATTGGCTAAAGCTAAATAAACAAAGCTCACGCTTTCAAAGACAAAATTTGGTTCTGGGTCCAACAGCTGGAGTGCTAAATTCTCACAAGAAGGCACAGAGAATGTGATTTGGGAAACACAAGTAGAAATCTTAAATCATTTATATCCCAAAAAGAAATATAAGGTGGAGCCTCTGCTTTCCTTTGTATTTTGACAAAGAGCACAGGGAATGAATTTCTCAGCAAAACTGGTCACTGCAACTTCCGACGAAGAGACTGAAATTGCATGAAAATCTGCAGAAATAACACAAAATGACATGCAGTTTGAAGAAAGAGGAATTTAAATGTCCTGAATGACTGGATGGTTGAAACAATTAGATTGGGTTGCTGGAAATAGAGATTGTAAGTTCATGATAAAGAGTTTAGAAATGCAGACCAACTGAGATGCCCACACACTACCACACAACACATACCAACAACCTCCTCTCATATCCAACAGATCCCACTGGGGCTGAATAAAATCAGGATATTTGCAAGGACCTTTAGATAGAGAGCAATGTTCTTTAAGAAATCACTCAATTCACAACCTGATTGAACTTTTTCACTTGTATAATCTACTTTCACTTTTATTATGCTCCTGGGAATTCTGATGGGTTTTTATGGATTGCGAACATCCTACAACAAATGAGGCCAAGCAAATAGCTGTAATGGAGATTAAAAAAAATGTCAACAACTGCAACAATAGTCCTCTAAATGCTGCAGTTAGTGCAGCATGAAATTGCGTAGCTGCCTCCAAAACAAGTATTTATCACATCACATACTACTTCCTTTGCTGGAGTAACGGCTCCATTTTAAAATTGATTCTAAAACATTTTTATGATAAAAAAAATAAATCCATGAAGACTACGTCAATTAATTTTAATTAAAATCCTGAGGAAAAAGAGATAAGCCTGGAAGCTGTAGGTTAAAAAAGCTTGATTTATTCAAATGAATGTTGGGAAATTTCATTTCCATACCTTGTGCTCTTTCTGTTCTACTGGGCATGTGAAGGCCAGCTGAATGCTGCAATGGCAGTCACCATTTCCCATCTCAGAACAAATAGAATGTGCAAATCACATCTCAGCTTAAGCATCATTTTTGTACAACAAAAGAACTTAAAAGTTTGCTTAGAGAGTATTAGCTCAAACAGAGGGTAAATGTAGACAGTTTTAGAAAAAACATCCAGTACTTTTTCTAGAGATCATAACTGATCTTTAATAAGTCTTCTTACGTGGTAATAATAATTTTTAAAAAATAATACTGTTGTTTTTAAGTGGCCACCTCACTCAAGAAAATCCTGACTGCAAAGCTCAGATGCTTATAGTTTCATATCAAAAGGAAAATGACACCAAAATGAACTTTCAAAACTTTTCAAAACGTGAAACAACTGAAGCAAACCTGCTGCTTGAGAGGTTAAAAAGCTGTTCAACAATGCAATTATTTCGAGAAAAACACGCTCAGAAAGAAAAAAGGAGGTTCCAGGAACAAAATCCATGTGATACATGGAAAACCTTAAAACACAATTTACTTTCAGTATGAATTCAGAGGGGCTGAATGGTATTTCAGCCTGAAACTTAAATGTTTAGGAGAAAAGGAATTAAAGATAATAACGATCTTAGCTTAAGCTTTTTGAAGCATGCTTTGTTCTACAAACACTTCACGTTTCTTGCTCTTTTCATCCCTTAAAATACTAAAAATCTTCATAACGGAAAATTCAGGGAAGACAGGAGGGAAAAGTAGATGAACTATTAAAAGCCTTCCAAAGGTGTATTTGTTACAATACACCATTAAATTCAGTCCACTCTGTGACAGATCCATACATGAATCAGCCATTTATCAGTCATTCACTTCAGTAATCGGCCCAAAAGGTAACTGTGATGTATTGCTTTATCTAAAAGCAACTGAAAAGTGTAATTAGAGAATATAGGAAAGTCAAGTATTTTATTAAGAAGAAAAGACTTGAAAAAACAGCATTCGGTTCTAGCCACAGGTTTCAGTTTTAACCAGAGTATATGTTATAAGAGACAAACAACTCCAGCTGCACTTGTTTAGCTTTGATTCAAAGGGAAGAGAGTGCCATCTACTGAATAAGAATTTCTAAAATGAAGCAAATGCTCCTCAAAAGCCCTTCCTCATCCCACTTCTTCTCATGAAATTGACAAGTTTAGAGTGCAGTATATATTACACAGTTTTTAGCTGATTCATAACTGTCCCTTACATAAATACAGAAAAACACCTCGAATTTGAACTCCAGAGTTCCTTAATGGGTTACCATGTTAAAAGACATTCCTCAGCTCAAAAAAAAGCTTAAACAGATAAAAAGTGCAGAGGATGCTCCCTGCTTGTAAGGACTTTTTTCCCCCCTGTATCTACAGCAACAGCCTACTTGCAGTCCAGTTTTTCCATCGTTCCAACACCTTACTGGGGCCACAGTGGTAAAACTGTTCTCATTCAGTCAGACACTCACCATTACTCTAACAGAAGTGCACACGTACAGTCAAAGGTTGTTATCAGGGATTAAACATTCAAATATTGAGATAATGACTAAAAGAATATTCTCTGCAATAAGAACAGCACAAAGAGGGCAAATACATACAACTATTAAGGCAATTCTGATTCTCTTCCACTTCTGGCTGCCTGAATAATAACCCACATCAAAATTTAGCTCCTTGATACAATCAAGTCATGCCACCAGCAACAGTGAACAAAAGACTCCCTATTTTGCAAGTTTACAAACAGAAAACAATAACCCCATAGCATCTTAAGATACACAAACAGAACACTTATTGATCCAGTACAAATGTAAATTGCTTACCTTGCAAATACCCTGTCTTTGTTTGCTCTTTCTTTGCCATACTGCACAGACTGGACCTCTGTTCTCCCACTGGAAAACAAACCAAAATCCATTAAATGCAGTCATCTTAGGATAATAATTTATTGCTTGGAACTGAACCATCTCAAGAAAAATTCTACTGCTCAAGCAATGGCACTAGCTTCAGTATAATATAACCTTAGACATTATTGGGTAAGCATAAGTCTTCTTTCACAAAGTTTAACAAAGACCAATTAATATGAAACATAACAAAACTCTTTTCTCCTTTTTCCTTTTATCCAAAGCAACAAGCAAGTTCTGCTTGTATCTTCTGGATAATTCTCTGGACAATCATCTTTTCTGTCACAGACACACAATTAAAAGTAATGCATCTCCACTGCACTCCTCCTAAACTACTCCCTGAAATGTTTTAAAAAAAAAAAAAAAAACTTAACTGCTTCTTAGTTTAGCAAATTATCATTAAGAAACACAGATCAACACATCACAATTGCATTCTGCTTTCTCAAACACAAAACTGGGAACTCGCTGACTCTTCCTTTAAGACCACATCTCCCGCGTCAAAGCAAAGATCCTTTATTCCATGATTATATTTCATAATTTGCTTTGAAAAACAATACAATGTTTTTTAGAGTGCTTATCAGAGGTTAAGAATTGGTGCCTAGATACCAGCACAACTCCCTCTTTTTATTACTTCACATGCATGCATGTCCTACAAAGACATTGATACTTTTCTGCTCTTTTCTGTCCCTTACAGGGAACATATACAGTGATATAAAATCAAAAAATAATTAGTTGTTTTCATATGCGTATTACAGAATACATACAACACTAAATACAACATAATTAGGAAATCAGATGGTGAGTAATTCACGTCTGAATAATCTCCATCAGTTAGAAAACTCAGAATAAGAAATTGGAACTAGATGGAAATATTCATTTATCTCAATAATGCCCAATAGCAGCTGTTTTTAGAGAAAATTATAAAGTATGACTTCAAAAATTATTGTTTCCATTTAAAACTCCATACATAACTGCAGGTCAGACCAGGGACCAATACTGGTCCAAGTTGTGATCAGTGGCAATCACAAGACTAAATCTGTTTTCTATGTGCTTTTTGGAGTTAAAGTAGATTTCCAGGCTTTACAATATCCTTTTAGAAAGGAATTTCACCATTTGACTACTGAATGTGTGAATGCACCAACAGAAATTCAGAGAAGGGAAATGCAAAGACCTGCCCCTGGGGAGGAACAGCCCCAGTGACAGGCTGGGGGCCAAGTGGATGGAAAGGTTTACTCAACTCCACAATAGCACGCTGGGGGTGCTGCGTCCAGTTCTGGGCAGCCCAAAACACATGGCCATACTGGAGCAAGTCAAGCAAAGGGGCTGTGAAAACATTTACAAATCTGGTGCATCTGGTGTGGAGCGGCAGGCTGAGCCGAGACCTGGTATCTGATTTCAGCCTCATGAAGGAAAGACTCAGGGGAATCAAATCAGCCTGTATAAACAGTTGTCTGTTAGAGTGTGTCAAAAAGACAGCCAGACTCTTCTCAGAAGACCTCAGTGACAAGATAAGGGGTAGCAAAGAGGACACAAATTGAAACACAGGAAATTCAACTTAAGCAGAATTACAGACAGAATACATAATATTTAAAATCTGACTGGGTACAGTGCTAGGCCACCTGCTAAAGCAGACCCTGCTCTGAGCAGCGTGTTGGACAAAGTCCGCTGCCTTCCTGAACTCTATGGTACCACAATTCTACAACACTAAAAAAAAATAAAAAAATATTTCTTTTCAAAGCTCCTGTCTTTGGTAACTTCTTGGGGTTTTGCATTTTTAACTTTGACAAGCAGTAAGCCATTTGTATTTTTCTTAATCCCTTTCAAGTAACTGTAACATTGTATCTGCATTGATCCCTACTAATTATGGTTTTCATAGAATTACCTAAAAGGTCCAAGACAGTGACATATTAGTTATAATTATGTTCCTCTTTTCACTCTAAACATACACATTGCATTTTTGAACATTCAGCTTCAGCTGCCATTTTATTACCTACTCATTCATCACCCAAGTACCACCAAAACTCTCTGTAGTCAACTCAGGTTTTTACCACAAAAATGTACACAATTTCACTGGCAACTTCCCTTTAACATGAAGACTGGACCTACAATAATATTCAGTAAAAGTCCTAGTGTTTTGGCCACTGGATTTGAGGCTTTGGTGAGGAATGCTGTAAGCACCACTTTGAAAACCCGCAGATAGCTTAAAGGAGTTTGATATTTTCATGAGCTGCTTTCCCCATTCTTTGTAGCAACTTTTTTTTTTTTTTTTTTTTTTAAAAAAAAAAAACTTGCTCTGAAATTTGCTTCATTAGAAGCTTTCAGCCCAGTAACAGATTGAATATTGAATATTCAATAGTTGACCAATTTTGTATATACGGCTTCTTTTAGAAATTGAGATAATTCTCTCTTGCCCTGGTAGTTTAAAATTCTGTTAGCTCACTTTAATCATAGAAATGTTGGCTAGGAGGCTCCTATCCAACCATCTGCTAACACTAAATCCTGTCTGGCCATGGCTTTAGTCTAGCCAAGTTTTGAATCTATCCAAAAGTATAGACTCCACAACCTTTCTGGGTGACTCGTTCCAGTAAAGAACTAGTCTCCTTAAAAAAATAAACAAATCCCAAATTCCAGCTTGACTCTTGAAGGTAAATGTGTGGTTGTTGCCCTTTATTCTACCACTTGCCATCACCCACAAAAGTTTGACTCCACCATTTCTGAATCTGACCTAGCAGTAGCTTTACGCTTGCTTCTGAAGCACCCACCTTAGCTTCCTCTTCAGATTAAACAAGCCCAGTGCCCTTAACCTCTCCTTGTATGCCACGTTACTGCTATTATGCAGACTCTAAACAAGCTCTCAAACTACTTGCACAAATTCTAGCCTTTTGGCTGCTTCATTAACTTTAATGACCTTCCTCATTTTTATAGTTTCCCTTTTCAGCTTACATTACCATAAGTTGAATGTCACCATCAAAGAGCTATTCTGTTATAGCAACCACAATGATTCAAAATCTGCTCAGAAATGAAAAAGCTTCCCCAAATTCATGACAGTAACATTGAACCAACTCTCAAACACTGTTTGGAATTGCAGAATGGTGTTTCTCAAATGGACGCTGTGAATGTTAGTCAAAGAAACAGATGGTACAAAAATTCAGCCTGTGAATTACTTTCCTTTTTATACATTTATGCAATTCACAAGTGAAACAGAAATAGCCCGTTATTGTGCTTTCTAGCTTTATCATCATCTCCCTTTGTACGTCACAGATACTGTTGCCATTCTAGACAGATGATTAGTAGTAGCTCCATTATTCTCTACTTTAGGCACAATTTAAACCACAGGCATTCTGCCTCGCTTTAAGCGACAGTTAACTCAGTTACTTTACTTTTCTTTTATTTCAAGCATAAAGCACTTTAAAAAACAATACCACCCACTCCGTTGTTACAGTACAAATTATACCCGGGGATCACAGTTACACTACTGTCATTCTCTGGACTTTCAAGCTTTTTGCTTATTAAATTGATAATTTCTAATTATATAAATTCCATCCTTGCTTTCTAAACTTCACGAAGTTCACAAAGTTCACTAAACTATCCTTTGTGCAGAACTTATATGCCTTTTGTCTTCATCTAGGACCTTGTTTGTATGCATCTAGCTTAAGTTGGCTTTACTTCCGCAAGTTTCTCTTGGCTGATTTTTATATGATCTTTATTAAGGTCTGTTTACTTGCTGCATGCAATGCCTGAGATCCATCACTTCTACAAAACACAGAAAAAACACTTAGAATTTGAGACTTCTAAAATAAATAAACAAACATAATCCTGCAGGTAAGCAGGCAAAGAAACACAGTCTGTGAGACAGATATCAGGTGTTAGCTCAATAATGACTATTAATAACATATGAATTATATTTCCAAACTTCTCCAGAAAATTACTCATATTTGAAACCTACCCCAAGAAGGAAGGTGAAGAAAGATAGGATTCAAAAAGCATTTGAACTGACACACCTTTCCAAAAAAATTCTAGATAACTGGCTATCTTTACTAATGAGCTGTCTATTCATTTATGTTCTTCCCTATATGTTTCACATCAGCACTTACCAGTACCGGAACTTTGAACCCAAAGTGAAATAATGTGCAAAAAAGTTCTTCTGAGGGGGGAGCGGTCGGTCCAAACGGAAGAACGTGTGATGTTCAACACAGGCTTTCCACAGGTTCTTACATGCTCGGTAATTCACCATATTGAAGCCCAGTAATGTTTCTCTGGATTCATGCTAAAAGTGAGAAAAAAGGATTTCAGGCGAAAATTATTCCCAGTCACACTTGAAATCAAGATAAATACTGAGGCCTTTGCAATCTTTTTCCCCCCAAATTATGCCTTTTGATGTAGTTCTCTAATTTTACATTGACTGTATGTATTAGAAAATCTTTGAAAAACACCACTAAGACTTTCTTTAAAGACATTTTAAAGGCTACAGCCATTTTGTTTTTATTTTTCCAGGTGAGCTCGTTCACAGGCATGATGAAACAAGTCTAGATGGGAAGAAATGGCCCCCAAAAACATGACCCAAAATATATTAATAAATGTCTGCGACTGAAGAACTCAAAAGCCAATGTGCCTTTCACTGCTTTTACTTAACAGCAAACTCTTTTTTCCAAGGTAAGCTTTTGCTGGACTGCTCTTCAAATTTGTCGAGATACTGGAGCATTATGACTAATAGCTCAGAAAAACACTGCACTTTTACTCACGTGATGAACTTAGATCAAAGAATTAACTGGGTTTTGAAATTGAACAGCAAATTCTGATTATCAATTGACGACAGTCAGTAAATTATAGGCAATAATCTAAAAAGTGATTATGTACTTCAGTTTACAAGAGTTACACAGATAGCTCTTCCTAATTTCCACTTACTACCAACTGCCCTGGTATTTTCTAGATGTGTTAACCGCCACTAAAAAATTAAGTGATCAACTAGTTAACAGAAACTGTCCATTCCCTATTCAGCTTAAAAAAGCTTCCCCCAAAATGAAAATGTATAGTAGCACTGTAAACAAAATGCATTCCTATCCTAAACGTGAACAATTTTGTAAAATTACAGACCACCTCAGCTCCTCGGCTCGGTATAAAGGATATGAAGTTATATGAACTGATGTCCGTGCATTTTCTTGTCACTCTTGAAGCATTATAATTATGGGTTAGAGGAAAAAAAACAAAGCAACCTGTTGCTTCCCTTAGTTTATATTCTAGAGAATGAGCTGACATGATTTTCGTGTCACCATCATCACCAGATCAGACAAGTAGCATGAAGGAGGAGTTGGTAAGCATGATGAGAAGGAACTGTGGAGATATCAGCTTAATTGTAATGCGAAACAGCACTTTCACAGGAACTTGGGGTTTCAGAGCTTTAAAGGTACTTCAACAATAGTTCTATTCATAGCTTCTGTGGCTTTCATTGCAGTGTAGCGAGAACAGATTATCAAACCCTGCCCTTCATCTCAGTTACAGCCAGGAATCAATCTTTAGGGTAAAGAAGGGTATAAGATGTGGGCTTAAAGTGCACCACTCTTCTCCCTGTCTGCCCTTCTAGGTTCTGTAAAATCCAAACACATCCTGCAACTTATATTTGCTAGTGCTTCTGTGGTACAAGCCCTAGTTCTGCTGATTAGTAGCAGGGTTTAGAACAGATTGCCCCTCTTTTCCATTAAATTTGGGCTCACCATAAGGTCCAGAGGCAATGCTTGTTAATACCTACAGTATTTCAGTCAAAAGCACGTAAAATACCACAAAGGTTACACTGAAGTCTATGAGAACATTTTCATAGCACAAAGCTCAGGGAAGATTCTGAATGCTCTATAGTATGACATACAGGTATTTCAAGGTTTTAAGTCTGTTGAGATAGTGTTAGAAGACTACCTCAGGGAGTCACAGTTGGATTCTGTTCTGAAATGATTTTCTCACTAATTGTGCCCAGAGTTCTTGTTAGAGAGAGTAAGCCAGTTTGCTCGCTACAGAAGGGGGAAGAGGGAAGCAGCTGGGATGCGACAGAGGTGATCAGAGGCTGGAGCCTGAGGGTGAAACCACTGGGGAGCCAAAAAGCATGTAAATTAATTTAAATCACAACCTTTAAAATGCACACTACGTGACAGGTTACCTACAGAATCTGAGAAGAAATACTGGAAGGAAAACTGCAAAGTGAAATCTAAGTTATGTTTGTGATGCCTTTTATTAAAAGGACAAAAAAATATAAACAAAAAAATGGATATTAGAGTCCCTCTTGCACACAACAGCTTAGCCCTTGGATATTTGCCTTGGGTAGCAACATTAATTCAAACCCACTTTGCTTATTTTGAAGTAGAGACTTAAAAGCAGATCTCACTCTGCTCAGGAGAAAAATCGGATTAAAAACATTCTGAGTCTCCTTCACTTTGCCTAAACAAAGAAAAACCCCCAGAACAAAGCAAAAACTCCCCACCCCCATCTCTGAGAGAACAAAGACTAACACTATAAACAGATGCACCAGAGACTCAACTTTTTAAACAAATAGTGGACAGAAGTCCTTTGGAAGCTTAAAATACAACGAAGATTGTGCTAGACACATCAGATATTCATTAAAAAAAGGCAGAAACATAGGTAGGATTAGGAAACAATTGGCTAGGTACCTAATGAATGCTGGTGTTATTTAAGATCAAGTATGTACTTTGACAGATAAACCCATACAGCATGTTACAAATCTATCTTAAGCTCTTTTTGCAAGTCAGTAAGAATAGTAATTTAAAAAAAGCTTCAGATACATTATTTAAAATAAAATTTTTACTCAAACACTGAAGGCAGGTCTCTGTTAAGGACAAAAAAAAATATAATACTGTTTTGCTACAGACTCAATTTATCATTGGATATCTGGGCTCTAAAACAATAGATGAACGTGCTGAACACTTTGGCTGTCTAGAAGCAAGGCTACTGAAGTATGCTAGAGATTGGGTGGACAGTGATAGGACAAGGAGGAATGGTTTTAAACTGAGACAGGGGAGTTTAGGCTAGATATCAGGAGGGAGCTTTTCACACAGAGGGTGGTGAAGCACTGGAACAGGTTGCTCATCCCTGGAGGTATTCAAGACCAGGCTGGATGCGGCTCTGGGCTGCCTAGTGTGGTGGTTGGGGACCCTGCACATAACAGAGCAGTTGAAACTAAGTGATCATTGTGGTCCTTTTCAATCCAGGCCATTCTATGATTCTATGATTGGGAATCTGATGCTGCAGGCTGGGTGATGAGGAACCTGATAAGGTTCATCAAGGGCAAGGACAATCCTACACCTCGGGAGGAACAACTTCATGCATCAGCACAGCTTAGGCGCTGACACACTGGAAAGGAGCTTTGCAGAGAAAGACTTAGGAATCCTGGTAGACAACATGTTGGCCATGAGCCAGCCTTCCTAAGGCCAAGAAAGCCAATGGTATCCTGGAGTACATTAAAAAGAGCATGGGTGAGGCCAAACGTGGGCTTCTCAGGTCAAGAAAGACCAGGGACTTCTAGAGAGTCCAGCAGAGTACTACAAAGATGGTTAGAAGCCTGGGGCATCTCCCTTATGAAGACAAGCTGGGACACTTGGGACTGTTCAGCCTGGAGAAGAGAACCCTGAGATGGGGTCTTATCAATGCTTACAAGTATCTCAAATCAAGTGGATGGTGCCAGGCTCTTCTCAGTGGTACCCAGCAACAAAACAAGAGGCAACGGGCACAAACTGAACACAGGAAGTTCCATATGAATACAAGGAAAAATTTCTTTACTTTGACAGTGACAGAACACAGGAACAGGCTGCTCAGAGAGGTTGTGGAGTCACTTCTGGATATATTCAAAACCTGCCTAGATGCTTTTCCTGTGTAACCTACTTTAGGGAACCTGTTTTTGCAGGAGTTAGACTAGATGATCTCCAGAGGTCCTTTCCAACCCCTATGATTCTGTGACACAACAGCAGTTAAGGTTGCAACCAACCATAACACACAGTGCTTAGGGAAGCATATAGACAAATGAATATATACTGATTAATTCTGGAGGAGCTTCAAAATGAGCAAGGGAAGCAGAATATGGAACAGCCTGAATAAGCAAAAACATCAGAATGCAAAATCCAGTGAAGAATACAGCAACTGAAGTTACAGCTCAGAGGACTTCCAATGCTGTACGAAGAAATTGTACATTATTCTTTCTCCTCACCCCTCAAACTAAATAAAGAGTAAAAAGAAAATCAACTCAAGTTATATAATTGACAGACTATACAACTAACTTTCATTCAAAAATATATTATGCTACCGGTGGAAAATCACTTTGACATAAAACTGCTTCATCTGGCTTCCCTTAAATGATTAATTTACAAGACAGATATAATCTACTAAAAAGCAGTCAAATAACTCTTTTACTTATATTGATGCCTCTAAGCAATGCCAAGATAAAGAATGAATTTAATAGGAGATTGAAAGATAAGGCACTTGCATTTTTAAGGACAACTGCAATTAAAAGCTCTCAATATTCATTAGCAGTATTTGAAAAATATCTGTTTTGGACCACTTAAAAAAGTGCACGAGAGAGTCTGGAAGAAATACTGTGAAATTTCTCTCCCAGGTTCACCACTTTAATATACTAGAGTATCTCAGCTTTCCATTAGAAAAAAATATGGGCATTCAGCTGTAAAATTCCTTATGTATTTACACTTCGAAACACATCAACATACCATGAATACATTTTCACTACCATATTGTATAACTATGCTTTTCAATATACACTCAAAGAACTAGTCTAGAGATATTTCACATATGGAATGTGCAAACAAAAGTCATTTCACCTGGCTTCTGCTACCGAAAAGAAGCCACTTAGGTTCCTGCTATTGTTAAGGAAACTAAAAGCAAGCATATACCAGAGAACTTACTCTAAAACACACTTCCAATTTATGCAAAAAGTATCAGCCTTTGCAAGTGTCTTGGTTACACAGAGGAAGTCTAGTGAGTAGCTGATTAAATAGCAATTGGTTCATTCATCATCGTGAAACAGAAAATATCATAAAACTTCACTGACACCGAATGTAGGCGAGATGAATCTCTTCCAAAGATTCTGCCCAGGGAAAATAACTTTGGAAATAACAATTTTAATATTAGATTTGATTAAAAAGTTAAAGTATGCCTTCTTTGGAAGCCAAATTTCTGCTTTGATCTTAAGGTATTCATGACTTGAAATAAATGAAAATGAAGTTCTTGCTGTCAGTTTTCATCTGATACATAAGAGCTTAAAGAAAAACAGAATGAGTCTTCTTAATTTGTTGCCTTAGATAAGTCATCTCAGAGGAGACATAATATTAGTTCATATATCAATTCCACCCTGGTCCAAGTAATATGTGGGATATTAAAAAATAACAGAAAATACAATACTTATTACCATTTTTCTGCCTGTATCATAGGTAAATTTGTGCATTTCACGTAATAGCCAAAGTTCATTTCTTCCCACACAATTTCTCCAAAATCCTTGTTCAGTTTTAACCTCCCCTTTCTAAACTGACAGCGTACTCATGCTGCTCTAAGCAGAAACGTCAACCTCCTCCCATCAGCTAACACAGCAGATCTGTGTCAGGCAGTTCCATCTGTGAGAACTTCAAACTCCTGGGCCTCCTGCTGTTAAGATGAGCAGCTCAAATTGCTGTTGCTGGTCACAAACCACTGGCCTGTTCTGACGTAACAGGAGTTCCCTCCTACATATTTGTCTCTGAATCTGGAGTAGTTCTATAATATTTAGAATGTATTTCTGTCTAAAATATATCTTTTTTTTTTTTCCTCTGGTTAGTTACTCTATACTTAGGTCTTTAAATCCTTTCAGCTGTAAGTAAGGACTGCACAAAACCTTTTAACTAATCTAATGAGTTAATCACATACCCGTATTTTAATTAATTCTTTTCCAAGTCTGTAAGGGTTTAGATTCCTATCTCTTGGAGGCATGAAACAATCAATTTCTTGCTGAATTAACTGCTCACTAGTCCTATGGTGCTTCACAGAGTAGGAAACAAATATCACAAGAGAAAAAGTATATTTATTTTTCATGTAAAGCCTCAGTTTTCTTCCAAGAAATACAGAAGTATGCATAAACCAACTACCCTAGGTACTTCAAAACCGCAAAGGCATTCTTATCTCTTCTGCTTAAGTAAAAGCCACTTTGTATTACTAGATCTGAATAATACCTACCAGCGTATTTTAATCAGAGCACATATGCAAGTGAATCAGCATTAAGCATTACTTTTCATTTTAACTTGGTTTCTTCTGAAATTTAAATTTAATATTGATTTACTTTCAACCTTCAATATTTACATTATATAATCCATTTTTATTTCCTGCATACATACATAAAACTAAAAGTCTTTTTTGTATAAGGTAGATCAAATGCAATAAGTCTTATTAAACATTGCAATGACTGTTTGGCAACTGAAATAAACAGAAAATTGATGAAACTGGACTTAAGACAAGAAACAATGTGGTATTAAAGTATAATGCAGACATTTAGTACAGAGAAGCCTCGTTACTCATTTTTTAGATCAAATTTAAAATAGTACTCACCAATTCTTTCCTAAGTTGAACAAAAAACTGTTTGCATTTAAAAGAAATTTTTACAATCTTCAACCTAAATGAAAAATAAAACCAGACCATTTAAACACTTAGTATAACCATTGTCCATAACTTAAATATTTCTATGAAAATACACTTTTTAGAGCATGGATTTCATTTATATAGATAAAAAATAATATAGAGATTAAATTATACAATCTGTTTTATATAAAATCTGTAAATTATGTATATATGACCAATGAAATTCACTTGTTTCTATCCTAAGTTAGGGCTGCTGCTAAATTACCTATATTCTCAGATCCAAATTCAAGGACCTATCGTATTCTGAATTCATCCTAATCTGAAGCCTTCTCTTTTGAGACTGCTTTCATTATCCCCTAGACTATCTAAGAAACACTTTCACCTCCACACAATTCCCAAAAGACATTCACTATGCTCTTACTCAACTCTAGGTATTACCAGAAGTTTTCAAATAGCAAAATCTGAGCCAATAAGTGTGGAGATTAACACTTACATATAACATTGATATTTATAAATAAAGTTAAAAAAAAAAAAAAAAAAAAAAAAAGAGAGGGAGTAAATAATGTGAAAAACCCTCCACATTTCAAGCAGGAAAAGTCATTTAAAACATCACATCATGGGAAAAAAACAGCCTACAGACACCTTTATCTTGCAGGTTATCTATAAGGCATACAAGACACTACACCAATTCCAGACAATTTGAGATGTTCAGTTAAATGATAGTTGTGCTAAATAGGAACAAGACAAGTGATATTTCTATCACAAAAGTAACTAACGTGAAAAACCACAGCAAACTCCGTGAACACAAGAAGGAAAATCTATGTGATACTAAAAAAAAATACAGAATGCCAAATTCAAGTGTTATCTCACACAAACATGATTTCACTACCGATTTTAATGAAGCTCAAAGGAAATCTCAATAAGAGTTAACTTTTGGTAAATTATAAAGCAAACTCCTCAGGGGTTACAATTAATCTCTTACACTGCCTGTTTATAGAGAACTCTGTCACTAATCTGAACTGTCATCTCTTACGGTCCCACTATTTCAAGTTACTGTATTGGCTTACTAAAGCTACCAAGGCAAGACAAATTGTGACAGCAAAGATAATACCACAGTTTTTGAGATTAACTGACTCATTAAGAATACACAGGAACCTCAAAAATGACTGAAATTACTGCTTGCATATTAATCACCTTGTTGAAAAAAAAACCCTCTAACACTTGGAAAGATAAGGAGCAAAAGTATTAACAAACACTTCTGTTGGATGGATGGATATACACACACACACACACACACACACAACCATATATTTATATCCAATACAAATTATCTTCTTAACCAAATTAAATGGAGACATTTTCTCTGGAACAGTATTTGCAGCAGGAACCAAACCTGGATATCCTTGATTTGTGAAGAGAAATTCTCCCAACAGTAATGAAGTGGTGGGGAGAGTCTATGAATATCAGTTGTTAAATAATGCTTACATAAATCTTTTTTCATTCCTGGTTTTGTAATTAGGAAGAGAACTAGTTGTGGCTTTGTTAGGTTACTGATTTGCTGCTGTTGAAAAGCTGATCAAGAATTAGATCCACAAAGTATGTAAAGATCCACAAAATTATCTATCTACTTCATTGGCAACACAGCAGTTACCTTAGCATCTCCTATAACAAACAATTGTGTAAGAATATTTAGGGAGAAGTCCAAGATGTACTAATGGGATATTCACTACTACTTATAGTAATCCATTTGTGGAAACAAAAAAAAAAAGTTAACTGCAACTTAAGTAGTCTAACTGAACCAGAAGTCTATCATAATCCGTTTTCTAAAATTTTGAGGTACACTACTATTAAAAGATCATTTAAATGCATGTCTTTTCTAATAATACCTGCACATGCTCTACAAAACACCAGATTTGTTTAACATGCTAACAGAAAGTCTTCAAAAAAAAATCCAAATTACTCAATTTATAAAACCATTTTACTAGCTTTAACTCTATTCCCCTTCTGTTAAAGAAATGACTTCCTTTGATGACTGAGGGAGAATCAAGATGAAAGTTAGACACACTTTTTTTAATCCTACCCCATAATTTAGGCAGAGCAAAGCCAGGGGTCAATTAAGCCTGAAACCACTCAACAGAAGAGACTCAAAACTGTTCCATTAGCCAGTAAGGTCTAACTCAAGCCATAGGAGCCACCCGAACTTCATCTATTTCTGAAAAAATACAGCAGTAAGAGTCCATATACACTGCTAATAACCTGCTAGGCATTAAGAAAATCCAGACTTGGCTAAAGCAAAAGATGCATCTATCTAAGCCTCCATTTTCTGTTGCCAGTGATGCATATCCAACGTAAAGGTTAAGAACAGGCATCTGTAATATTTTCCTGGTATGATTTTCCAGACTCCAATCATCTCAGACATTCTAAACCATATAATGAATCTTCGTAAACAAAGAGATATTTACAAGTCCTAACCTAATGTGAAACCTGTACTCAAACATGTGGAAAGCTGTGGTGCTCACTGACGACTTTACCACTTCCAAACTTTGCTGAGAGGATGACAATGCAGAATGTGAGCAATCCAGCAGACTTGACCAAGATTTCAATTACACAGGTTTTGCGCTGACCAGTTAGGAAAGATGCTCTTGGTAGCACCACTCACAAACATGGAAAGATTGTACAGATTTAGTAGTAAAGGGCACATTTGGCTCCAGCAGTTGTGAGATGGTAGATTTAATGATCCTGAGGAAACTGAGGAGAGAAAGCGGCAGACTCGCAAACTCGACAACCCAGGGAGAAGAAACTTCGGTCTGCTCAGAACTCTGGTACACAAAATCCTTTGGATAAACTTTGCAGGGCCTGGCAACTGAGGAGTGGTGGTCAATCTTCAAGGACAATCCCAATTCAGAATAATCTTAATGTGCTACATAAAGCAGGCCAACATGGAAGGAGACCAGCTTGGACAAACATGGAACTTCTGACTGAGTTCCAACAAATGGGAAATATGCAGGAGGTAGAAGCAGGATCAGGCTACCAAGAAGGAATACAGAAATACTACCTAGCTACCACTAGTACTACTACCATAGCTCAACTGGTAACCTTGTGAAAGGCAAAGCTTTCCAGGGAACATCAACAGTAAAAGAAAGGCAAAGGAAAGTGCGTCTCCGCTCTTGAGAAGGTGATCCAGTGACAAATGACGTGCTCAGGTACTCTATGCTTTTGTCCCTTGGTCTTCAAGAATCAAAGGATCAGATCCCACTGATTCCCAGGTCTCTGTGACAGGTAGTGCAGCCTGTGGAAAACAGATACTACATCTAATACAGGAAAAGTAATTAGGATGCACTACATAAAAGATACACTCTGCATTTTGCCTTGAGCCTGCCTAGTCTTCATCCTCTTCCCTCCTCTCCCTATGATCTCTGATAACAGAGACTGCATTACATAATTTTGACAAAAATTTCAACCCAATTAAGGTAAGTGGCAAAGGACATTTTACTTGATTACAGGTGAATCTATTTCTACATCTACTTCTCCCCACATGCATGCAGGTCTATCCTGTCACATGTCTCAACAGCAGCACAGGAGTACTGCAAATGGGATATCTAAACATTCACTTGTAGCCATATAATTGCCAAGCACTGAAAAGACATCTTGCACAGGTCCAGTTACGCAGGAGCAAGCAGAAAAACAGTGTCAGATCTGATGTCACTGGAACAGCTGTAGGACTAAGGATAAAAGAAGAACGACACAGGTCTACTGCTTTACTCTTAGCCAAAGAAAGGCTATGGTTGGAGGAAACTGTGTGTGTGCGCACAGAGTGGGGGTGGGGTTCTTCGTTTGCAGTTGTTGTTTTAAGTTATTTTGTAAAGACCAATTATTGTGGTACTACAGTCTTCACAGGAAGAAATTAATAACCCTGATGTCAGCTGATACGGTTGAATACAAAGAAGAACTGTTTAGGTAATTATACACACATACAAACCACAGTAAGAATTTAGATCAGCATCCCTGGCACGCAAATGATATGAAACAGAATTCACAGAAACCTCTAACTTCCAGTATGGACTTGCAGCTTAATTATGACTTACACTGTACGTACCCAGCAATTTACCGCTGCTTTATAGAATGTATTTCTATTAATGTTTTCTCCAAGAAAAAAAAAAAACACCAAAACAATACCAAAAAAACAACGAACAAACAAACAGAAGAAAAAAAAAAAAAAAACAGTAGTAAAAGCAGCCTGAATTAAAACCATCCTGATTATTACAGAACTATATTTATTAACCAGCTCTAATCCAGAAGTGGTTCTAATGTTTCAAAACTCTTGGAGATGAAGGGTTTCTTTCTTAGAGTGAGTAGCTGTTAGAAAGGTAGGCCTGAATATTGCAGTAGTTTCAGACTTGCAATTGCAAGATCAAGTTTTCATTTACCAGACTAACCATGAAGACCGAAAATTTAGATGTTCTGTGTTTGCCTCAGGCTTGCTTTTCTTTAAATGCTTCCAGGCAGTATGTTTGTGTGTTCAATCTCATCTGGGTGTAGATAAGGTTTTTGTCATAGCGATAGATAGGTTTTTGTCATGTCTCTGCGAAAATCTGCTCCAATTTGATCATTCATACTTCTCAACATGGTAAACCACAAATTATATAACATCCTACAACAAAACTAGGGATTAAGCTTTGCAATGTGAACTAAAATGTCTCAAATTCAGTGGGTTGAAGGAAAGATGTCATTAACATCTTGAATCTCACCAAGTGAAAGAGACCATACTGAAGCAAAAACAGGTCACTGATTACACACAGTTGATTTCACCCTATAACTAACAAAAAACAACAAAACCCCAAGAACTTCAGCTACCTGTATCTGTTGGAGCTCAGAAAAGTAGTTCTTCCAGTTTCAGTTGAGGTAATGAATTTAATCCATTTATATGAAGATGAACTTCAGAGAATTTCAATACTGTATTGCCCAAGCACACAAATCAGCAGCCAACAAAAATGTCAAAGTCAGCATTTTTCTAATGTGAAAAGCTTGTTGTGCCTGGTAACTTAATGTCTGTTACAATAATTTTAGATGGATGACTTTGCCCACTCAGAACTTTATTATAGTATACACAAAGTATGTAGTAAGAATGACTTAAGGAGTGGATTTGAAGAATACAAAGGAAACCAAAGAAAACTACTTCACAGTAGCACAAAAAAGCTTTGGTGAAGGTGACATAGTTGTGTACAGCATCAGAATGATGCAACAAAACAGGATTTCTCTTAGACTTTTCCCCCTCTGACATGAGTAGGTAAAAAGATAATCCCAATTAAAGAAAATCTGATGATTACCAGAACAATAAGATTATCAAGGGCATTTCCATGATTACTTAACAGAACAGCTTTACAATCTATTTTAGTTAAGAGGAGAAATTAACGACAACCTTTTCTTCAATAAATGCACTTTTTTTTATCTTCATCATGAAAACAGCTATCTACAGATGAAGAGATGACAATATCACTGAATACTACACCTCACTTATCCTCAAGTGCTATGCCTAAATTTAACACAAAGTACAATTAAATTACAAAAAAAGATGACAGGAATTATTTTTGTATTTAATATTTTTAAGTTTAGTGGTCCCTATAAAGACTGAGCTAGAATAAAATCAGTATTTCCAGAATGCTAGCCTTTGCTAAACAGTTAATTACACAAAGTATGCTTACAGGTTCCTGAAGAAAAATTATATTGAAATTAATTGTATTTTACACCACAATCACTTAACAGCACAGCATCCAGAACAGGACAAAAACCCTTCATAAAACTATCCATTACCTGGTACAAGGTAAATCATTTCAACTTTACATACTAAAATTTTAGCCTTTTTTTTTTTTTTTTAAAGTATATAACACTAGTAATAGTAGAAAATTTGTTCTGAAATACCAAACAAAATGATTAGCCTTAGCAGCTGTCCTTACCATGGGAAGGTGTTAATTCGTACTCTGTTCTTAAAGATCAGTATTCCACCTGACATCACTCCAATCATTATTTCATTGTTACTCTGATCCTTCAAAAAAGAAAAGAGACAATGAAGTAAAAAACAATATAAATATCTTGGAAGCTCACCAATCTTCCTCCTAACACACAAACAATAGCAAATTAGAACTCAATTTACATGGAAGGAAACATGTTTTAGCAAGACAAACAGGAATTCACTTTTTCCTCCCCTGTTTCGGAGAGGACTACATGTTTGCTCTGAATCATTTAGAAAATTAAATTCTATGGTAGCTAACTAATTAGCTCTTCCATGATATTCAAGCAAACAGAATATTCTAGCAGTTTATTATGAATAACAACACTGCCTCAGCGTATGCTACACTAAAAGCAACCAGCGACTTAAATTCCTACCTGAAAGGAAATTGCAATCTCAGAACACAGAGAGGAGAGATTCTAAAACAAATAATACTGTAAGCACGTTTAAATAGCACAGTTTTCCTGAAATGTTTATGCACTCCTATCAAACATCTGCTACAGACCTCTTGATTCTTGAGGAAAAATAGGAGAATAGACATAGTAGCGAAGCAGGGTACTTCTAAAATTCTGTTGCACGTTTCTTTAACATTAGGGAGTAGAACAGAAATATTAGAAACAGAAATGTCTTGCTAAAAATAATTACAGTCAATCTTTGAAGAAACGGTAGCACTGTAATGACGAGTTGAGTCAAGACCTCAAGCTACCTGCTTTATTAAAGTATTTCACTTTACTTACCAGGGAGAAGTAAAATGCTAGATTTCCATACATGCTTAATAACTCTTCATGATCAGAACTTTTCATTTAGAAACTCTCTTTTCAAAATCTACAGCGTTCATGATTTTAACCTATATCTGAGTTTATAGTAGAAGGTTGTGTATTTATTTTCACACTATAGTCACCATACACTACATATTTCATCAAACCATCGTGTGTTCACCTTACACAATAGTTCTAATCTGAACCAAATAAAATACGTTTAAAAGAAAACAGATCCTTAAGTATCAAAAATTCATTCAACATTGACAATTTTCTTTTTCAGCAGTAGTCAGCCAAACTGACATTCAGGCCAATAAGGCTGAACCCGACTAGCACACATAAACGCAGAAATTAAAGCAAGCAAATAGAATAATCAAATTGTTTACGTTGGAAAAGACCTTTAAGATGATTGAGTAAAATAGTGACCTTTGATACTGGTAAATTGCATTTAGGCAGCTTAAGATAAACTTATTACTTTCTACCTTTTCTCCTGAAAAAAGTGACGAGAAAGGCTCACAATAACAACAAAAAAATTTAGTTTCCCACAAATATCAGAGGAATCCACTTTTACATTAAAATATTAGTTCATCCAAACTTACCCTTGCATAGTGCAATTCAACTCCATAGAGTTCTAAGGTACGTGCTGTATTGAGATAATTGAACTCTGCTTCTGCAGGAGACAACCCTCTGAAAGAAAGAAGCTATATAAGAAACATTCAGATGCAGTTCCTCAATAGTCTCTTTACTGAGCTCAAAGAGAAAATCTGCATTGACCTTTCCTCCTTCCCTCACCCTGAAATCTCAATTTCCTTTCTCACATAAACACCCTCATTCAAAAATTTTATATTGTGCTTACACAGTCTTGAAACAAACAACTGCTTGCAAACGCACTTTTTTTTTCCTATTTCTAATGTATTGCAACATTTAAATGGCTTTGAAGCTGTGAAAACTGGAAATTACTTCTGAAATACTGCATTTTCTATTCATAATAGCAATCTCTCTCCAAGACCCTCAAAGTTTAAATTACCAACTCACTCTAATTTTATTTACCCTACTTAAGTGGATTTCCTAAGACACTGACCGAAGTGTACAAATGTCATCACAAATTCAGCCTATGTTTTGTTAAATTTTACTCTAACAACGCAGTATTGAAGTTCTAAAATGTCAGGGAGCTATCAATGAATAACATTTACTTAATATTACACATTGCAAAAAAAAAAAAAAAAAAAAAAAAAACAAGCTTCCATTGCTTCATCACCTTTTCCTCTTTAATGAGAGACCAAATAACTGCAAACAGGAAAGACCAGATATCAAAGAAAAGGACTTTGTTACACCTAAAGTGACTCTTGTCTTCTGGTAAAAGCACCATGAAAACAAGGCCTTTATGTATTGTCAAGGAATGAAGCAAATTAACTAATATCCTCTTAAGTTCATATAGTACCTAACAAACACAAGCACTATTTTCAGCACACCTTTATCAAGTTCATTAATTCACCAACATTTCCTCTCATTCTAACATCAATTGTACTTACACAGATATTCTACCAAAAAAAAACAACCAAAAAAACACATTTACACATACATCATTTCTCAACAGAAAACTTTAAGACAAAATACTCAGTTTTTATACAATAGGACTGCACCAGCAATCAGGATTTGACAAAGTCAGTCAATGTAAATCCTTACATGTGCTGCTGATGTAGCTTTGCTATCTCTTTTTCAAAGTCTTGAGGCTGGCCAGGGATGAAAGAATAGTCTGAGAGGTAGCCTGGCAGGTTTTCTGAATGGTTGTAGTCTCCCAGCTCAGCTAAAATATTAAGAAGAGAGGTTATTGTTTATCAGTGATTAGTTGGCACTGTGCAACACATTCAAATTCACACGAGTCTGATACCATACATCATGATCTACAGCAGATCAGACAAACAGAAGTAGTGACATTTGAATTCCCCTTTTCCCTTTTGAATAAACCACCACATTCTCAGCAAGTACTGTGGAAATCACTGTGAGCTTTTAGTGGGTGTTTATGAAGGAAGTACATTAACTGTTTAAGTTCTAATACACAAATTAATTCATAAAAGCCCTCCTAACAACTAGCACTAAATAATATGCATCAAGGTACTCCAGCTTGTTCTCCCTCTTTTCTTTTTTTTTTTTTTTAAACCCTTGCTTACTTACATACAATTTCAATATTTAAGCACTACAACTGTTATTTCTTTACTTTGCAAGACCTGCAAAAAACAACCAGTTCATTCTGCGCCAAGATACATTCATAAGCATTAGAAAACTGTTCTTGTCCACAAATGCATACGTGCAGAAGTATGCATACATACACCTACACTGCTTACATGAAACTACTAAAAAGTGCATTTTCGTAACTTCTGATACTTTCTCAAAATCATTAAAAAAAAAAAATCCAAAGTAACATAACGTGTCAGAATAAATAAAACAAAAAATAACCAAAGAATTTGCTACGAATACAAGCATTCAGGCTTTTTAGCTGTAACCCCAAAACAGTGCAGTTTTAAATATCTGCAATGCATCTAAGAGATTTACAGTACTAAGTAACATAACGTGTGAGAATTGGAAAGTTCATAGCAAGGTAGCATGGTGCGGGGTTCTGGGAAGGTCTACAGACGCTTCTTTAGGGCATGGAAGAAACGACTGTAGGGTGGATGAAGGTACACAGGGAATGAGAGGGTAAGCAAGGGAAGTGAAGGCAGAAAAGGCATCTGGGGCACTTGCAGCACAAGAGACAGATCTTATTTAAGGTTAGTTAAAGCCTGGAAAATGCAACCAGGTTTTATAACAGAGTGCAATTCTTGCTAAAACAGACTACAAATACAGGGCTGTCTGAGTTCTGGGGTTGCTATTTACGAGGGTGGCTCCAAAAGAATGCCTCCTATTTTATTACGTTGGCCCATAACATCAGAGGTGGATGTTGGTGGTATGGCAGTTAGAGGTTGAACCTTCCTGTCAGTATTCCATTACATGCTGTTGCTGTGTGCCAGATGGCAGCAGAGGGGCAGCCTGACAAAATGGCACTGACATGGAAGTGCAAATGAAGCAAAGAGGTAGAACTGAATTTCTTCACACAAAAAAAATGTCACCCACTGACATTCATCACCTCTTGAATGCCCATGGAAACAGCGGGTATGAGCAAAGAGAGGCAGCAGGAGGTGTGTTTCAGCAGTGACAACAGCAACAATGGGTCACCTCCATAGGTGCAGATTTTGATGAGTGCAGCATGCAGGCTCTTGCATTACTTATGAAAATGCATAGCTAATTGTAGTGACCGTATTGAAAAAATATTGTTCTGCAGATGAGAAATTGCTCTTTCAAATAACATTATTGTGCTCTACCAGTTGGTTTCCATAGAAATAAATAGGAAGCACTACTTTTGGAGCGACCTACTTATTCATGAAGAATTTCAGGACCTGAATCCAAAGGTAATTAGCAATGAGCATACAAAGACAGATCTGCAGGGTGAAGAACTTAAGGACAGTAACATCTCACACAACAAGTCTAACCACAATGCTCAATGCATGCCCACTACGTTGTTTTAAAAATGAAAATACTGCATTCTTACAAGCTTAACTGTTACAAAACTTTACATATGGTCTGCTTCACTATCAAATACCTAATCTTTTCCAAGACAAAACCCGAAGCCATGACTTCAACTTTTGTTTCTGACAGCTCTTACGCTAAATACGTTCAGCACCTGAAGTTTGATGTTTTATACAAATTTGTTTGCTTTTTCCTTTTTTTCTGACCATCACTATTTGCAAAACTTCTGTACTGAACTTCTATGACTTCCTCCATTGAAGAGTTCAGGTTTCACAAAAGAAAAATAAGGAGAAAGGAAGAAACATTACACACTGAAGGGCATAAAATTGGCAACACTGGTATGGAACTGCTTGGCAACGTATGACTAGAACTTACTATTTCACACCCATTTGGATGCCTACTGTACTGTATGTTGAAAACGTGCATGTGTCTAAAAACTGCCTTAGTGTTACCCTTTCCACTTCGTGAAAAAATAACATGTAATCACACTTTGGAATGCAGACAAAAACAAGGGGTTCTTATTTTATTTTTCAAACTGCAGGGGTTTAAAGAAGGAAAATACATTTGCCAGTATTTTTTCTATACCTAATTTAACAAAGTGTGCCGGGAGAAAAAAATAAAACCAACCACCACCAGGTTTGAACAATGATTACAGGCACCTCATGTCCACAAACATCTCATACACAGTATTATACAAATGTGAACTAGATTCTGTAGAAGCAAAACTAGATACAGCTGCATTTTCAAACATAGCAGTACTTACAATGAATATGAATACTAGCAGTACTTACACTGAACAGCATAGGAAGCCAGAAGAGCAGCAGTATTATATGGACAGGGCAATCTGTTTTATTTTTAGACGAAAAACAAGTAGAATTACATATTTTACATGAAATGATTTTGAAAAGCCTACTGTTTTGTAATGTACTCATGCACAAGTTGGACAGAATTATTATTGTTTATTTTTGCATAATTATTAAAATACTTTCATTTTTGCAAGCATAATTCTTCATGATCAAGACAACACCTTTTTCTCAAGTTGCATATAATGTTTAATGGAACAAAAATGTCTTACCTTCCAGTAAGAATGTCCTGTTTAATCTGTAAAAAATACTGGTACCTTAATTTAAAAAAAAAAAAAAGATATTATTAAAAAACATTTAATTATTTTTCATCAATTTAATGCATCTCCAGTTAGTGCAAAGCTTAAAACTTGTATTTGACATGCTGTTTCTTAAACTCATATGGCAAAGAAACCAAACAGTGATTAGTGAAATAACAACTTCATAAACTGAACAATATTCACTCTAATGAAATTATAAACCGTATTTCACCTGTATGCTGTAAAATTCATTTCCTACATATTTTGTTTCCCAGTATTTATGTTCAGTTCAGTGAATGAGAACACAACTACTCAATATGCAAGCCAAAAGGGGAAGATGGTTTCTATGCGTGCAGGTAGCATGATGAGTTGTACTCCAGGTAGACAGAAAGAATTAGTTTATTCTCACTGAGCATTTGACATTACTTTGTTTTCATTTGAACTAAAATAAGTACTCTCCGTTTTACAACTTTTTTGGCATTCCATTCTAAATTAGCAGTTGTGGATCTACTACGATAAAAGCCTTTTGACAGTCTGACTTCCCTTGAACTTCTGTTCTGAACTTTTCTTTAAGTTATGATGTGAGAAAGCTTGTTTTAGTTCTACTCTTCACATGCCCACTCTTTCAAAGCAAGGAAGAAGATGAAAACAGCCAAAGAAATAGACTAACACTTCAAATCAAGAACTGTTTTTCAACCAGTAGCAGCAGAAACACTGTAAATTAAATATATATATATCCAAACAAACCTGAAAGATCAAACAGATTTCTGTCTAACGATTCCCCGGCAAGACCCAAATGCTTTGTTAACTTCAGAATTAATCTTTTGTTCATTCAGTTCAATTCAGTTCCCTCATACTTCACTCAAAGCTTTCGGAGAATTCCACAGTATAAATATTTATAACAAGAGGCAAACTACACCTGCTACAAACCACAGCTGAAACAGACTGAACTGGGTAACACTTACTGAGATGGCAAGATGTTAGCACAAGCTTAAATTTCCACTAAAACCTTCCTCAGTAACATGGCAGTAAAGCAGTCTTAAACATTTTAGGCTCTGATGCCTTTAATTAAGATAAATAAATAAATAAAATAAAATAAGTGGAAATCATTAACATAATTCCTTCTTATAAATCAATTCGATTTTGGAACACCCAGCTTTATTATCAAAGAAATCAGTTACTTTTCCTCTTGCAGTTCTGCTTTGAAACTTTGGCCAGTCATGCTCATTCATTATAAAAAGACAAAATGACAAAAATGTAAATCAGTTTCCTACTGCCAACATCTACTGCTGTAAGAACATAGGGAACAAAATTCTGCATGTGCAGATGCACCTTTGCTTCTTGTCTTTATTTCTTACTTTCGTGAAATGTTGTAATAGAAACACTCCATAATACTCAGGAGACTTAATCATTAAGGTACACTAAGCAGAGTTCAATTTCGGTCCACTGTTTCTGGTAAACAGAGAAGTTAATTACTTGTTAGCTAACCACTGCAGCTCCAACACAAAAGCCTCACATATTATTAAGTGAAATGGAAAATCAATAGAAGCTTTATTAACGTATATCTGAAAACCAACACTGTGAAGATCGTATTGCATTTACAATGTTTTCTTCTACTTTACATATAGGAAAAAGGTAGGATAGAATTATTGTTAACTGGAGTCAGTGTTAATAAACACCCCCTTCTGCAATGAGCTTTGTCCCTCCAGCACAAGCTGAGCTCCCACTGACCTTTTCTCGACCCAGGGCGTTCATAAGCTGCCTCCCCCTCTTATGAATTCTCAGAGGTCTAATTTAAAGACACAAGCTTGTATCAAACCTTTCCACCTGATTCACACTGACACGCATATTGACTCACCCCCGTGTCTTCATGAAATTTATAAAAGCTGAGGGTCTTAAAAAAGTCTCATCTTGAATGGAAACAGTGAAAAATATCAGCTTTGTTTGCTTGCTTTGTTTTTGTAGGTTGGCTTTGCTCTAAGAGGGGAAATGCTGATTATGTGAAAGGACCACACGGTAGTGACAAGGCGTCCTAACTTCACTACAGAAACCCCGCAGATAACAACATTCTCTTTACAATAATTCCAAACACAAATGAGTTTTCTCAAGGGCAATTACCCTTATTAGAAAAAAAGGCAGAGTTGACCTAGATACAGCAATCATACATTGCTTGGCTCTAAACGGCTGCTGTATTTATAGTGCTGTATTTACAGCACAATATTTAAGTAAACAGTTGGCTTTTTTGTTCATATACATCACATTCACTGTCATTTCCATCTCCTTAGGAGTATCTTACACTGTCCTTTAATTCAAACATCACGCCGTTTTGTTATTCTAACACCAAATCCTCAGTAAATATTTCCATAAAATAAAGACTGATGGAGGATTTCTGGGATTTGTTTTAGTAAATTGTGACTGTTTGTACATTTTTGTCCAAAATTTGACAAATCAGAAGTTATAAACAAATATGGACTCAGATATTTATTTTTGCTGCTCAGAATTTCTAAAGCTATCTTTAATAACTTCGATCTGTATTTATGGGGTTGACCTGTTTTCAGGATGGCTGACATCCAAAAATTACAATCTGTCCAATCATGCTATTTAGGAGGACTAGAAAAAAATCGGAGGCATTTCTTCAAGAGCTAATCACAACTCACTGACCTCCTGACTTGGTCCACATTGAGCATTTTCTTCAACAAGCTTCAACACATTGCTAGCAAAATAAGCTTACAATGTTTCAAGGACTGCAATCATACAGAGATACAGTGGCAGGAAGAAACAGATCATTTAAAAATGCAGAAAGCTCAGGATTCTTTTTTTTCAGATCACACAGGAGTGCATAGAAATAAGTTTATATTCACTGATGAGCAATGACTAAATATCTTCCTTTTTCTTTTCTGCTGTTTTTCTGTTTCTACTTGGTAGTATTTTCTTTATGTAGTTATTTCACTTTGCACATATATTTGTATATTTTTTCATGAAGGGTTTTTGTTATATGGAATGCATATTTTTTGCCTGCACTTCTCAGGTAAAAATTGGAAGCCACACAAAAATTATTCAAAAAAATTTACATGTTATATCTTAAAAAAAAAAAAAAGCCTGTTTCTCCTTAACACATAAGCCTTCTACTAAAATCTTCTACTGATAAATTAACTAGACTTACCTTGTATATTCTTCTTGGAGCTTGTTTGGGTCACTTACAAAAAACTTAACTCTCAAGTTCAAACTGTGAGGAGATCCTCCTATGGTCAAGAGAAGTGTTTCTAATTAATCAGGGTACCTTGGTAAAGCAGAATAACAATAATGCATGAATTGACCAAATGCATATACATACTCACTTTTTAATTGTTTCCTGATAGGTTTGTTTGGATCCAACCACCTCTGGAAAGATGAATTATAATACAAGAATCAGATAAATCAAAAATTATATGTTACAGTCTTACGCATCAAGAAACTGTTGCCTTTTAATTTTTTATTTATTTATTTATTAGGTTTTCTGTTTGCTTGTTTGCTTTTTAAGCAAAAATATCCTGCTGGCATACCACAGTCTGTAACAAGACTCCGAAAGATACCAACATGAGCAGTTGCTTCTTTTTGCCTGATTTTAACTCTACTGTCCTGGTGTCTGTCTGTCACTACCGCAACAGGGTACTAGAGTATGACCATCACTTGTGCCCAACAGAGGCTACATCTCAATCTCCATGTGTTTAACTATTTTAGCAATACTTTAAACTGATCATCTAAGGTTAGCTAACTGAAAGGAAAAAGCTGTGAGGCTCATTTATCCTTATGTGAAGTTAATTTGCTTAAACCAGTTCAGGTTCTTCTAACTGCAATCCATCAAGTGATCCCAGATCTGACTCTCAGATTCTCTTTCAATTGCCAGAGAATCACCTCTGCTATGTCCTTCTTTACTATCCTGTAAATCAGAGACTCAGTTTACTGAATTAAGGACTATAGAACACTTGTAGCAAATGCTCATTTTTCAAGAGTCCCCTTCATTTATCTGTCATGGTGGTGAACTGACAGCCCTTATCATGCAGTAAATGGTATCGTGGAAAATGGAATCATGATCTAAACACCTACAAAATACCCAGGCTAGAAAAGAAAACAGGACAACCAAAACGCTCCCTCTTTTAATAGGCCTGAACTTTAGAAAAAAACTTATTTCTTATTCCAACTAATGGTGATCATTCAATCTAGTAACTAGATGCAACAAAGCAAGCAATATTCCTGTAAGGAATTATTTAATGAGCACAATCTCATGATTTTACTCTCCACTTGTGACTTGCAGCATTTAGTTTTTGGTGATACCAACCAAACTCAAATGACGATTGGAGAGGATGCACAACACTGTAAATAATTCTGCCTCTACAATGACCCACATAGAGGAGCACAGTGATGCTCCTCTACAGTCCATCATTTCTGGAGTCCCGTATCTCCAATTCAAACTTCATTCCAAAATGTCATTCTTGCAGATACACTTAAATAGTAAACTTTGGACTTCTACTTGTTTAAGAACAGCTAACAACTCTTTACCGAAGTGCTGCTCAAGGGAGTACGAACAGCAATTCACATGAATGCAAAGGTGAATTTATTTTTTTCCCCTCAGGTCACAGACTAAAATAAACCAGCTTAAGAAAAACAAAAACACACATTTCCTTTTGCAGTACCAATGACCATAACTCCTGGTTGAGGTAAAGTAGTGTTACTTCATCCAGCCCTGCAGAAAAATGACATACTCAAGAGGCACCACCAAATGCACTAATTGTGGTAATAAAAGCTTGAACGTTCATTAAGCTCTCAATTTCTCACTATCTAGGCATCATCTATTCTTTCAGTTTTAACATTTGTCTATTTTAATATGTTGTTTGAATGTTGATTACTAATTAAGTCAGATAGTTTTCACAACGGCTATTTAATTAATTCAAGTCATCTGATTTATTCTTTATGCCAGCTGATTTGACCCTGCTTCCATTGTCTTTATGACACATACTGCTATTTTTCTGCTTAATTCACTCTTTTTCTCTATCAATATATCTCCCTAATTCAGTTTCTTAATCCTGCTCCACCTTCTTGTAAAAATACTATTTATTACCATGTCTCTCATCTACCAAATTATCAGTGAAAATACCATTCTCAAGTGCATCAAATAAACACATATGAAAATTGATGCATTACTGTCCTGGTTTCAGGTGTAGAGAGTTGATTTTTCCTTCCTAGTGTCTGGTACGATGCTATGTTTCAGCTTTAGGAAAAAAAATGTTGATAACACAATGGTGCTTTTATTTGTTGCTGAGCAGTGCTGCACAGAGCCAAGCATGTTTCAACTTCTTGTACTGTCCTGTCCTGGGTGGGCTAGGGTTGCACAAGGAGCTGGGGGGTGGGGGGGGAAGAACTGGCTGACCTAAACCAGCCAAAGGGTTATTCCATACAATATGACATCATGCAGAAACCATAAAACTGAGGGAAGTTGGATGGGAGTGCTGCTCTGGGCCTGCCTGGGTATCAGTCAGTGCGTAGCGAGCAGTTGTGTGGGGTATCACACAAAAAAATCCCACAAGATGCAGTACTTTTCAATGCATCACATCATGCACCAAATCCATTGTATCAAAAATCAATAGTGCTCCTGTAGAAAATCTGACCTACCAAAAGGAACAAATTAAAATTTTACAATTAAGTATCTTGTAAAGAATAAAGCACAACTCCCACATATTAAATTAATGTTATGATTTACAAAATAAATTTGACTTACAGGGTTATCAGTGGGTTCATCCGCCAGCTGTAAACCAAAGTAATCCCTCTCTGTCAAATCGAGATGTTTGAAGACTATATCCAACAGAACTTGTCCCTGATCGTGTTTCTGCAAATAAGACGACATGTATGGGTGTTTAATGGAAAAGTCATTGGACACACAAACTTTACTCTAGTAGAGTACTAACACGTTCTTTCAGATGTGCTCTACAAAGCCACATTTTAAGCATCACGATGTGTATCCTAGCAGTATTCTTTTAAGAAGAACGCCATCTCTCTTTCTGAAACACATGTAAGAAATTATCTTCCTTCCTGTTCATTTTCTAATTATGAAAACTTCTAATTTCTCAGCTAGCTACATGGTTATTTCCAAAAGCCGCTCATTAACCGAATTTGATACTTAAAAAGGATTACTGGAGAGAAAAAGAAAAGAGAGGCTGGGATTTGACGAAGGACTTCATAGCCTTGTTAGACACATCTAATTTTGAAGTAAGGTTTTTCAGGCCTGCACAAGTTATTTTTACTTATTTCTATTTTTACTTATTTACTTAAACCTATTCCTGAATCTAAATGAGCCAACATACTGAAAGTGCTTGCTTCCACAGTTTAATGGCACAGACAGACGAAGCAGACAATGTTACTCTACATTAACTAATTCAAATAAGCTGATTCTGACTGATAGACTTTCCACCCAGGTTTTCTACCTCTCCAGCACCAAGCAAACTTCCAACAGCACTGTAGGTGCCAAACAAGTATTACTGATACTAGAATGGATATCAGAGGCATCTTGCCTTGTTTACTGTAGGCAATAAGGTATTTTGAAAAATAACAGAAAAGATTACTGTCCTACTACCAAATAACCCTGCTCCTGACAAGAGCTAAAATAGTTTACTTTCACAGCATTTATATCTAAACTGTCTAATAAAAAGGTCAGAAGGCTTTAATATCCACAAATGACAAAAATCTACAGGTCAAATTCAGACATTTGTTCACATCAAAGAACACCCTATCAAAGCCATTTTTTTTTTCATTCTGTTGAAAATACACCGAAGCTGAGTAACCAGACTAAGCCATTTATTTGGGAGATAAAAATTCCAAGAAGGCAGACTATTTATTTTAGAATAATTTAAAAAGGAGAGAGAAAGAGAGAGAGAAAATGGTTATCAACAAATTATGCCTGAAATGATGCCAGCAGGGCAAACACAGCTGTAGCGCTGGATATTTAAGTTACACAAGCCATGTATCTCAGATTCATTTATCTAGCTAAGTAGAAGTGATTTAAGTGCTACACTTACCAGAAAAAGAAAAAAAAAAGAAAAAGATTTCTTAATGTTTAACAAAACAATCAATACTATCAATGGTGATAAAAAGTTCGCTAACAAAAAAAATTCCATCTGCAATAAATGAAAACAAGAAAAAACCCACAGATGTCAGCATAACAAATACACAACAATGCAAGTGCACAAGACAATTTCTATGTACAATCCCAAAAACAGTTACATCTTTGCTGAATTAAGAGTTTCCGAAATACTTTGAAAACAGTAATCAGTACAATTTTTTCAACAAATTAAACTAATTTTAAAATTACATAGCAGTAGTAATTACTTCTTGGCATTTTTCCCTATTTAGATTTCAATCACACTCAAACTAAGAAGTTATGACGCTAACAGAATAGAGGAGACGTTTGGAGTCTGCAGACTTGCATTTACTTCTCCAAGGAACACACAGCTATCTATTCTGTTCTAAAAAAAAAATCCCAAATGGGAGAATTTACCTTGTTTCTAAACTATCTAACCCCAATTGTTTCTTAATTAAAAAAATACTGAAAGTTTAGAACCTCCTGGTCACTTTGAATTAGTGGGTACACAAATGTCATTTCATGGCAGCAAAGAAGCCAAACTATGAATGGAGGTGCCCCTAAAAGGCAGAATGAAGAGCGAAAGTCATTTCTCCTGAAATAAAGCAGAAAATTTGCTAAGAAGAGACAAGTTTCAACATGAAGAATTTGTTTTGATGACAATGTTTTACTCTGAGTACAAAACAAAGATAAGCATCTAGTAAAACTAGACCTCAGCTCAACCTGCCTTCGATATTTATACATTGATGTTTGTAGCTTGCCAGAGCAGGGGAAGGTCACAATCCTGTTTGTTGTGAAAGGTCCAAAATATTTGCAACAGTATCTCAACCAGTGAGCAGCTGCTATAGAAAGTAGGAAAATAACTGTCTATTTTTGCCTTTTTTTAATGAAAAACACAAATTTATACAGGGGGTTTAACAAAGAAATGTGCTTTATTCTTAGGGGTAAACATTAATAGTTCTTAAAACACAGAATAATGGAAAAATATAAAAACAATGAGTGATATCCAGCATTTAAAACAACATGGTTCACTGTAATTAGTTATTTCCACAACTGAATAATGAACAGTTAGCCAATAATAATTACTGAGCAGCTGGATATAAAACACCAACATTTTTGCTGAGCTGAAATATTAGGATTTCATGCATACCTGTTAGAAATTATGAAAGGCAAAATGTCTCACAAATGCTGGCCTTTCAGAACAACTCAATACTAGACATCACTAAATACAGTCTAAGAAGTATAACACACTTTTCACACCATCTATCTTGCCTTAGTTTTCCCCCAAGTTTGGTGCGATCAATTTGTACTGATTTTCAGGGAATACTGCAAATTCAGCCTGCGTGGAAAAGCTACAACTTGAGGTATTTGAACAACAAATCAAAATAAATTAAAAGTAATAAGATCCTGAAGAAGGAGATCTATGCAAATCATTGTCATCAGGTTACTAACTACAGCCATTCTCACTTCATGCAGCTATGCCTTTTAGGCAGTATGCTTTCTGTGGTGGAAGTAGGAGTCCTTCATTTAGTAGGCAGAGCATCTGCCTATTTTGCAGATCAATGGAAAAGGTTGCTTAAAATCTGAACTTAGAACATGTCATATACATTATCAAGAGACAGCGCCTGTGATCAGTACTCTGCTGTTGAAAGAGAAATATCATTTCAGTACATTTTTATTAATACAGCTCTTCATACTTCAGGTAATTAAACTTTAAAACCATTAGCATACCTGTAGCAAACCCCAGGAGAAAAATACTATGCTAATTTATTTGATATTATCTTTGTTCTCCCCACTCTGAAAATAACGCCATTAATATTTATTGTCAAGCACTGCCCCAACCGCAATTCAGTAACACAGCTATAAACCCTGAACATCCACGTACCATCTATGTTAGTGGGATACAAAACTTAAGGGTATTCTTATGGCCTTACTTCTGAAACAAACAAACAGCTAAACAACATCACCAGCAACCAAACAGATGGAGGCTAAGACACGGAACCAAAAGTTAGAGCCCCATATGAAGTTTCTATTCCCTAAACTCCCAGGCTGGTCTAACTAAGCAATAAGCAGTGATCCATGTAACCAAAAAATACAGTACGCTAGAACCTCAAGGACTATACACATTCTCAGGAGAGATACTTGACTACACAGGACTGGCTGTTCTCTAGACAACTAGTCCCAGATTGATCCAGCTTGCTAGCTAGAATTACACAGGTGTTAGCATTCTCTTCAGAGCTGATGTAGATTTTGGATACCTACATCAAAAACAAGCATCAGTGCCCATAACTGTTGTGCAACTATTTCTTATATTACTGAATTTTTATGGGAAAAATAAAAAAGCAATACAAAAACTTCCATTCCAATATCCATCTTGCAAACACAAGCACTTGAAACACAACATTTCCAATTTCCCATGTACCTTTGATGCTTGTCTTCAATCCCCTCCTGCTTTTTAGCAGGTAGCACAGACCAGGAAACTATATTAGCAAGGATGAGGAATTAAGAGGTATAGAATAACAATGAAATATTGCAGAGGAAGGAGGGGAAAAGGGATGAAGCAGTTCAAGGAAATGGTTGCACTTCTATGCGTAAAATATGAACATATTCATTTTCATTTCTTTTACCAATCACAAAATCTGATGAATAATGTATTCCAAGCTCATTTGGAAAAGTATCCACTTTTCCCAGTAACAGCCCTCAGCATTCAACAAGTTTCCTATTTTCCTCCCTGCCATCCTCAGTGCATTAGGAGGTACAGAACAAGAACAAAATCTGAGGAAAGCAAAAGCAAAGAGGTACTATAAGATGGTAACAGTAACTAAATATAACCATCCACATGATTGAACATATTTAGCTTAGCAACACAGTGAAAATAGGATCTGCCATTATATGTTACTGGTTCTCAAAATACAAAAAAGCAAACCAAACCAAACCTTGCTTCTCATTCAACTGAGTGGTAAAGCTAAATTCATTTTCACTGTACAACATTCAGTCCATAAAGAAAACTACCAGAAATAAACTATACATTGCATATTCCATTTTGAAATTAAGATGTTAGTATTACAAAGGATGCCAGAATGACTAAGTCTGCAGTGATCCGGTGTGCACAAGTACGAGCATGTCTGTCTGAACAGAACTTTCCCTTGTATTCCATACTTAATACTATTTTGGAAGTCAAACTCTACCTATACAAATCAAGCAAAGGAAAGCAAGCTCAGTGACACTGCTGTCATCGGATTACTTACATTAACTCTGAAAGCTTGTACAGTGTTATCCAGGAGAAGAATGTTGCAGACCACCTCCGTATGCTGCCTGTCTCGTGCCAGCTCAGATGCTCGTACATTGTAGGTTCTGCCAGCAGGCAATCGGAAACGTGCGGTCATTACTGTCCACACAGGGTCTTTAGGCAAAACAAAAAATTAAAAGGTTAGAAAATGCAAGTCAAGGATGCAGTATGTTGAAGGAAGTCAACACAGTGAGTCTATTGCTAAAATCTCCGTTACGTACGAAAGAAAAAATGAATATTAAGTTCACGGTATCTAACAGTGAAAAAACATTTTACAAATTACAACACAACTTTATTCTAAGAAACTCAGTTCTTTAAGTCCTTCAGCTGCTGTTCATTGTCCACTCCCTCCCTAAGTTCCTTGTTTTGCTTGTGATTGGTGATTTTGTTTCTTTTCTTTTTTATTATTATGAAATGATTCAGAACAGCATTTTCACTTCAAAAAGCTTTTTAATTGCCATGCATCAAGGCTACACTAAGCTCCCACTGTTAGAGGTAATTAAAAATTAATTTCAGTGCAAAAAAGCAAAAAAAACATCTTACATCAGAAGTATAGAGAATGACTTCAAAAAGAACAGAGCATGCACATGAAGACTTCGGTGCATTATTCTGCAAGGATTACGTATTCACTGTGTAAGTATCAGACAAGAGTGATAAGCAAATTAGCCTTACAATATGAGTAGATAAAGGTTTGTTAAACTACTGCATCTTCCACGTGTCATTTCTTTTCTATTTTTCCAGCTGATTGGATTTCTGTGTTTACTTTAAAAGCACAAACTACTCTTATTTTCCACATAATGGGAATCAACTGATGCCTATACCTTGAGCTACATGCTGATAAACGAAATCCAAGAGTTGAAATGTGACTTTCAGTTTTCAAAACTGAGTTTCTAATGATTATCCTGCAACCCTGGTTCAGCAAAGTGCTTATATGCATGCTTTCAGTATGCTATTAGTCCTGTCCAATGACACTAGTTACATTCTTAAGTACTTGCCAGATTCAGGCCCTGTAATTCACTTAATTACACACTTGGCAAACTATTTCTACATACTTTGATAAGGACGTAAGCAAACAGAAAGTCCCAGAGCTTAAGTTGACAATACATTGAAATAATAAATACCTTTAAAAAATAGTAGAACATTCTCCAAACTGATTGTAAAAGTTTCCCTTATTTTGCAAATAAAAAAAACCTTGAAAAATTTTATGCATGTTTGCTTATTATGTATGTTACTCTGAAAGTAATGTTCCTTATTTATTTCCATTGGAACTACAACAAATACAAAGAGCACAGTAACACTACTTGATAGGGAAAACTCTTAGCTGCAGACTAGTATTTTTCAACACAGTCACCACCATTAGCTGTGCACTTTCGCCTGTCATGAACAAGAGCCTGCATGCTGTACCAGCAGAGCTGACCTACTGCTGCAATGCACCACTGTGCACCGCGCTGCTTGGTCTCTACTAATTTTCAGAAGCATTAATGAATGTCAGTGGGTGCCATTTTTTCCACAAAGAGGAATTCAATTCCATCCCTTTGCTCCATACACACTCCCATGTCAGACTGCCCCTCTGCTGCCATCTATTGCACAGCAGCAAAATATAACAGAGTAGAACCGACGGGGCAGTGAGCTGGAGCTCTCTCTCAACAGCCCACACCATGCCTCATGGGAACAAAAAGGCAAATCCCATCTTCGCTGCCCATTCTCACCCTACTTTTGTTCTGTTTGCTGATTAACCCTGACAGCGTTTCTTCCTTCCCCATCACTTAACTCACAGAGAAATGCTCTGGGTTTCAAGCAGAACAGCAAATTCACCCCCGTTGAGCATGAAGAAAACCTGTCCTCTGTGATCCTCGGAATCCTTCACTGCCAAACAAACATTCAGTAACCTTCACAGACACAATCTGCAGACCCAGCACAGATGATTTTCAGTCCAACCAAACACTGAACAGTTGCAGACAGTGATGCAGTTCTTACTCCAGTGCACAGAAAGGAAATGGTCAAACAAGTTCTCCAAGGAAACAAGTAGCTATGCTGGTCAGAAGAGAAGCACAACTAACATGGAAAGCAACATGGCACTGCCTTCTCACTCTTCTTAAGCAACGAAGACGAGCATAGGACACATACAGCGATATTCCTTATACACAGCTCCACAGTCTGCAATTCCATAGTGGACAGCAGTCATTCATGCATGCTTTCTTCATGTCAAGACTGCATCTTGAAGTTTCAGTGTTTGCAATGAAGTGTGGCCCACACACAGTATGTAGTAGCCTCAACAGCCATTCCGTATTAGACAGTCTTCCTCCAGGAAACAACAAAACAGCCTTACGGCTAAGTATAACAACTGATCCTGAACTGCTTTCACTAAATAGAAATGTAACAGCCACAAAAGTAAAAGAGAGGAAGGCGACAAAATACAGACTGTTTTCTGCAGATGACATTCAAATGTACCCTTTCTCCACATGTCAGTAAAGAAACTATGCAAGTGTATAGGATTTACTTTAAAATGCCTTCATTGCCATACAAAATATTCTTTGCATTCTAAGATCTGTAAGATCTGTCAGGGCTATCACATGTAACTGCTCTGTGGTCAAACATATGAACACAAAGCATATTTAAACCTCTGTCAACATACGTACATATAAAAAAGGACACAGCCATTAAGCACGGACACATCAAGAATACAGAGAATACAATTTCTCCTGAGCAGCTACTATTGATCTTGCTGGACATTTTGTAAACATACCCGAAAAACACACAGATGGCTACCAATTCCTTCTGAGGTTACACATCCTAACTCATATTAACTAAAATATTTTTTATACACAGTGAATTGTTTAAACTGGATTTCCTTTGGATTCATTTTTGCATACAAAAAAGGTGTCTGCTTGTAATTTTTCAGGACCTTCTGCTAAGGGTGTAATACTTAGACACTTAAACTAATAATCCAAAGCATGTGCTGCTACAGAAATCAGAGAAGGACAGAACTTGTGCAATGAAACTCCACTTACCTCTCAGGTCTACAGAGGGAGTAAGCTGTGCAGTTCCTGCCTCAGCTCAGGTTTCAAGCAATGAAGCAATTCTAGGGAGTGTTCCCTATCAAAGGGCAGAACATTCCTGTGATACTTGCTTGGTTAGGGCATTAAAGAGCATACAGAAGCTTCCAATGTGAATTTTCAGCATTCCCTATTCTTTTCTATAAAACTGTAAAATGACAACTTGCTTGGCTTACAATAAACTAACCCATTTTAAGCAGCTTAATAATTAAGCAGTTGGTTAAGAAAGTAATTAACTGAAATTTAGTTTATCCAAGAGCGCAACTGATTTGCTGACTCAAAGTAAAAAGTACTTTAAGAGACTTAGCAGCCTGTACTGCACATAAGACAACTACTTTCGTATAGTGCCGTATGCCCATATGCATGCAAGGGCATGAGAAATTTTCTTTTTCATGGCTAATCTAAAGAACCTACTGCACTGCCAGATTAAGAGCAAAGCTTCTGAAATGCTTTTCAATTTGTTTACAAGTTCTAGTGACCCAGAAGACATCTACTGCCACTGCACAGCCCATCTGCTGATCTGGGACCAGCACGTCACACAAATTGGATACAACAGGTGGAAGAGTAGGACTTACAGAAAATCCTCGAAATATAATGTAGTGTGGATGTAGTTGATGATGCAGATACTAACATTATCCACATAACTCAATTAGGAGAAAAGAACTACAAGAAGTGCAAAAAAAATATAGAAGATTTATACAACATATTACAACATCTTTCATGTGTGTGGCTTTGGGGGATTGGCTGTGGATTTTGGTACAGGCTTGACAACTAATTTAATAATTACTCTCAGTCCTAAAATTATTTGAAGACAGTTTTTGTAAATGAACCCCTCCTTGGGAAATGCTTTACAATACTACTTGTGATTGGGGTTTCAAATCTGAGCAACTGCTGCATGACATCAAGTGGGATTTTTATAATTGCAACTACAAGATGAAGTGTCTTCCTCCATCACTGCCAATATTGCATTCTTTCCAATATAAAAATAATAAATGAAAATATGAATAAGTATTCGGTCACCCTACACAGGATAGCAGACAATCAGTTAGAGAAAGCTGGAACATGCATAACAGAATGCAGAAAGTTCAGTAGCACCACAGCAATCTACTGCTTCATCTGAAAACTAAACCATTCAACTCAACAGTACCCTCTTGCTCTCCTCCCTTCCCCCAAGAACAAGACTGCAGCTAACAGAACAGTCTATTATAAGTGATGCTTCTGACTAATTAACATCAATACTCATTATACTTGAACTGCCATACACCCAGTGCTCTGAAACAAGGCCTCAAACTCAGCTTCTCACTTTCTCTTCTTTGGGTCTGAAATAGGACAGTATGGGAAGCTTGGAAGCTGCTCCAGATTAGGTATGACCTGAGGTGACACTGAAAATTTGCATAGAACGAAAATAAATGGAATTACAAATCTAGACTCCAAATAAGCTCAACGTGGTTCACTTTGAATCCAATCTTAAGTTTCAAATGTATTATCCCAGAATAGTCCATACCACATTCTGACTGGCAACCTGCTACATCCGGTGTACCCGTAGGCACCCTAACGAGCCCAAACAGAGCTGCTATCTCTCTATTAAGCCATTCTGCATTCATAGCTTTCTGTAAACAACAACCTAGAGCCGATCTCTAAGGAGTCACTTGATCATAGTGTGACAGCTTTATGGAACACTTTAGGAAAAGAATAACAGTACAAGAGGAAGTTGAGCGTGCTGCTGAAGCCAGGAACATCTTAGAGTATATTGGTAGTTTCAAGCCTGTAATATGAAAACAGATGCTGTGAATTTGCAGGAAGTCAAAGAAGGGAAGAGACAAGGTCACAATAAGTAACAGATCATTACCAGATGTTATTGGATGGGTCCCCAGTGGTCATTACAGCCATCAGGGAGGCCAGAACACTAAAACAACCAAATTTTACAGCTGACCGAAGCCAACTGCAAGCCAGGGTGAGGCCCAGCTCACCGCACCTTCCCACACACAATGTTCTTTGTGTAAGGGCAGAAAAGGATAAAGCTGCCTGCACAGAGGACGAGGAAGAAGAGTATTAAGT